TTTTGAACCGAGTAAGGGAGAGCCTAGGAACTTTCTAGGGGTAGGGGTACAAAGCTAATGCTGTCTTGGCTGATTGAATCTGTGCCATTTCTGAATTCATAAGACTTTATTTAGAGAAGTTATCTCTTAGATGAATTTAGATTATTTCTTTACAACACAGGTTTCCAATTACTACAACTGAATTCAAGATCTGGAATATTCCTCTAGTGGCTGTAATCAAATCAGGTTTGATTTCTTTAGCTACAGCTAGTCAAGAAAGAATTTAGCAGACCTGGAAAACAGCTTACATGTTATGAAAACTTCCATGTCTTTAGATATCCTGCTTATTTTTTTGTTGCAGGCATGATATACATCAAGAATGAGCAAAGCTAATGGTCACATCCACCAAAGCGAGTACTGACTTAGCAGCAATATGGAGGAATTGCTCTGCAGTGGCTGAGTCATGGTGAAATATTAGAGAGGCCCTGAGTTTTTTCAGATATGTAATGAAAATGCTCTTCAACAGGCACTAGTGAGACTGGGAGGGCACAGGGAAGAAAGGTCACTGCCTTGCCTATGTAACTACATGAGTAGGTGGCCTTTTGCCTGTAGCAACCTGTAGATTCATCTAGGAAGCCAAGAGCTCTGCCCAGTTGTGTCTTTGCACTTCGAGAAAGAGCAAGATGCTCAATAAGACAGGATCGACAAAATCATTGTGGCCTTTTTCTAAAGCAATAGATATTAATGAATGCTAACTTCTGGGCAACTTTTTTTCCTGCTTTAAAGTAGAAAGATTAGATGAAAATGTATTTTGTGAAGAGTGTGCTGACACCCTCAGGTAATCTCCATCCTCTGTCTTCATCAATAATCTAACACACTACCTCCCCATTACATTACTGTCTGCAGTAATGCAATTCACTTCAGTCCCCTTAGATTCTATTAGAATCTCTCACATTACAAAATTTTTCCAGCTCTGCTCTATAGTGCTCTGGCATTGTTTAGTCTAAACTTCTGCTGGCTGTTTTCCTTGACTACAATCCTTTGCACAGGGAATGACTTTTGTGAATTGCACATTTAACCTAGCAGTGAGTCAGAAGATCAAAATAAGTAACACATGTGGGTGTCGTCCGGTGGGGTCCCGAAAGCACTGCAATTCTGCTTTGAACACTGTTGAATGTATCTTGTGGTAACGAGTTCCACTATCTAAAGCACTTTCTTCTATCAGTCTTGATTGTGTTGTCTTTTAATTTCATTGCCTGTGTCCTTTGAAAGGATAAATAGGCATAGGCAAACAGAAGTACCCATTTCTACATGTCATTCAATCCCTTATGTACCTCCTTTGTATTACATCTTATTTTTCTCCTCTCCAAAGTAAAATGTCTTAATGTTTTGTTTGTTTGCCTTTTTAACGTGGAAACCTTACCATATCTCATAATTTATTGCTGTTATTTGAGCAGATGTCTTCCTGGAATTCTCCACAGTTATTAATGACAAGTCAATCGTGCTTGGTGATGATATCTAAATAATGATCTCAATGTGCACTAAGACAGACATCTCCTCTAACTGCTCGGTCAACATCAGGGGCTTAAAGTAGGCCGAAATGGATCTCAGACAACACTCCTAAGAACTGCAGTAGAGGGTGGAAAAATGTGGAAAGCTCCTCTATTTCCTTCATTCTGATTGCCAGAATGATTGTGCAATACCACTTTGCACCCAGCGTAATGCTTCCTAAGTTTAAGGAAAAAACGTTCCTGGCTTCTTAGCTTAAAGTAAGCCTCTGACAAAACTGGTGATGTTAGACCTGCTTTCTGATCTCCAGCCTTATCTGATCCAATGCTGTCTAATCCCCAGTATTTTTTAGATTTTGAATTGTGGAATACCCACTGTTTGCAAACTTGACTCTTCCTGTTTTTCCCACTTTACTTATTTTGTAACATATTTCAGTGCACTGAAGCCTGACCATCATGAGCCCTGCAACAATATAGTATAAATCTTATGAGAATTATCTTAAACCAGTGTATCATCACTCTTCTGGCAGTTACTCCTAGTTTGTAATAGTAGAAATAAGAGCAAAATTGAACATTTTTGTGACATCACAGTTCTTCCATAGCAGCCATGTTGGAGGGCCCAGAGGACAGGAAAAGATGTTGCTTATAATTGGAGGAGATTACAAAAAAAATTAACACAATGCAGAACTGTCATTCTAGCTCTTTAATACACAGGACTAAGTATAAGCAGCGTTACAAGAAGATTTACTGCTGTAAAAGCAAAGGAATTCATGTGCTATCACAGCAGGGGAACTTTACCACAGTTAAAACCTCAGGTCTATTACACTAGCATGCACCTTTTTTGCTGCTTTGGCTATCAGTTTTCCTTACTGGGAATGGATTTTAACTGAAAGTCAGGGTTTTCCCTCATTGTCCCCCAGATTCCTGCGTTATTGTTCCTGCAGTGCAAATGTAAGCCTAAAACATGAATTTAACAAAAACAAGAAGATCCAGATGGGTCTCGCAGCACTGCAGAAAGGGCTGGACAGGAAAACACTGCAGCAGCTGCCTTTCTTCCCAAGGCCCAGAGAGGTGAAGTAGCAGAAACTCTGCAGACCAGAGGGTTTACCAGGGAAAAGCACTGAAATTCATCACTGCCTTAGCACTTCAGAGAAGCTTTTTGTCCTGCCTTGTGCTCCTTTTTCAAGGGCTATAAAGTACTTCTGTTCCAGGGCACTGCACATAGATATTAAATTCTCATCACAAATGTGATGCCATTTTTGATTTCAGCATTTATCTATCTTCTGTTCTTATATGGCCACACTTACCATAATATCTCATACTTCACAATCTTTAACACATTATTTATCCCTCCAAAAAGCATGTATATGAAAGGTAGCTGAAAATAAGCAATAAACCATTTTAATACTGCTACCATCTGAGGCTATGGATCTGTGAGAATTTTCTTCTCATTAACTCTGGAATGCTATTCATAACCTTGAGACTGATAATGCCTAGAAAATGATTTTATCCAAGTGTCAACTCCTCCTTAATATATGTACTAGAAGTCTACAGCTCAAAAATGAGGCTTTTCCAGGCCTTAAATACAAAATCCTTTGCTCAGACAAAAAAAACCCAAAACCACATAAAACCCAAAACCAATCAAAAAAAAAAAAAAAACCCTCACACCTGTTACAGAAGTCACATTACTGAAACCAAGGCCTGCATTTCCAGTAATTTATTTACTTTAAAAGGCTGATATCAAGTATTAGTAGTGATATTTAATCTATCTATAGATTTCATTTTTGTCTGCTGTGGCATATTATGTTCTTTGCAGTTTCCTTAAATAAAAAAAAAAAAAAAAAAAAAGAAATCAAAACACTTTGAGAATGCTGTTTCTTTCCAGATCACTTAGCATGATTTTTCTTTGAAATTGTAAAATTAAAATAAAGAAAGCTGAAGGACACATTTGAGCCACTGGTCTCTTTTGGAGGCAATTACAATTTCCTGCTCTACAACTGTACTTGTGAATTTGGAAAGAATATTTAAAGGCTTAAATCCCTTCACAGTCTGAGGCTGAAATGACTTGCAGTTGCCAAGACATAAAGTCAGACTATTTTGGTGTTGTACGTGATTGTAAATACTCTGAAAACAACTTAGCAGCAAAGACACCGGGGAATATCTTTGATATGATCAAAATGGTGATCAAGATCAGTGGCATAAATTTGACTTTGTGCAGTAATGAAAGCGGAAAGATGAGCATGAACAGACAGTTTCAGATATGAGCGTGCAGACAAGTCTCTGAACATGGGACCAGTCAGAATATACCATGTGCATCATGTCTCACCCACAGAGGACATTAAAACAGGATACTAGAATCAAAAGGGCCCAGATTCCTACAACAGGATGCAGGTGAATTGTGTTACAAGAAGAAAAAATAATAAAAAAAAAGAAATAAAAAAGAAATAAAGAAAACGTGACAACGTGGCAATTTAGTGCTTTTTAGCTATTCAGCCCTAGAACTGTACAAAACTTGGTTGTGACCCCTTTGTTGATGGGAAGGCTCTCTTGTCTCCTTTCTGCAGGAGGCCCAAGAAGCTGGATGGATCTGACACATCCTGAGCTTCACACTCCTCCTGGATGCCCCACGGCAGCGCCGTCCTCGTCTGTGACCCGTCTGGTGCCCTGCCCAGCGCTGGATGCTTCAGCTTTCACACCAGCTCTCCATCACCCAACACAGCACCCATCACTGTCACTGCCTGGCCCTTCAGAAGGCAGAGAAACTGGAAATTATATTTTATCTACTATTTATGCTTTCGATACACCCCAGCAGTTCCCCATCAGCACCACAGTCCCTGCGGACAGTGCCAGCACGGGCCCGCCCGCGAGGGGAAGGGATGGAGCAGGCAGGAGATTGTGGGATGAGTAGGGAAGAGGGACAGGACTAGCGACAGGACGGGAGGATATACTCTTAAACTGCACAAGGGGAGGTTTAGATTGGACATTCGGAGAAATTTCTTCACAGAAAAGGTGATTAAACATCGGAATGGGCTGCCCAGGGAGGTGGGGGAATCACTTTCCCAGGAGGTGTTTAAGGAAAGACTGGACGTGGCACTGAGTGCCATGGTCTGGTTGACATGGTGGCGCTCGGTCATAGGTTGGACTCGGCGAATTCAAAGAGGTCTTTTCCAAACAAACTGATTCCGTGATTCTGCGAGGGCAGGAGGCCCTGCCTGTGTACCGAGGGGCTACACGGCTGGGAGGGGACGGGGACAGGACGGAGCCGGGCACTGCGGGCAGGGTGTGTGCAGAGGGGCCTCCACCACCGCGCCCGGCAAGGCGGAAGCGATGGCGGCGGCGAGGGGCGGTGCGGGAAGGAGGGAGGTGCGGGAAGGAGGGAGGTGCGGGAAGGAGGCGAAGCCGCCCCCGGGGAGGGCGGAGCGGGATCCGGGCGCAGGGCGGAGCGGTGCCCGCGGGCCGGACGCGCCCCGGTTGCCGTGACAACGGCGTCGGCCGAGCCCCAGCGGCCCGGGCCCGGCGGGCCCCGCCGCCCGCCCGCCCATGCCGCGGAAAGCGCTGCGCTGTGTCCTGCAGCTGGAGCTGCGCTCGGTGAGTGCCTGGGCCGCGCCCCCGCCGCCCTCGGCCGGGCTCGGCGAGAGGACAAGCCGCGCTTTGCTCTTCCGGCGCCGCTTCCCGCCCCGCTTTCCTGTCCCGGCTGCCGCCCCGCTCTGCCGGCCCGAGGGGGCTTAAGGGAGGCTGTTCCGGGCCGTGCTGGCGAGCGGGGGCCGCCCTCCGTGTGTCACTGCAGCCCTTCTGTGTGTGCATCCCCCGACAGCCGGCCCCTGTGCCCCCCCCCGGTGTTGGCAGCGGCCGTGCCCCCTCCACAGTTCTCATTCTCTTGTGGAAAAGTTGGGTTTTTTTAAGAGACGCTCATTCGTGGGAAGCTGGGCGGTGTGGGAAAAGCACGCTTGAAAAAAAAACGGAGCAAAAGAAATCCCAGGAAGGAGCATTTGTGCTCTGAAGTGCAGCCCTGCGAGGGGCAGCATGTGGCACTGGGCAGCTCTGGGTGTTACACGGAGGGGGTCAGGTCGGTGGGTGTGAAAGTGGAAGGTTTTCACGTTAATCTTATTAGGACTGTGCCTTCTGCACTTTGCAAAGTTTTCTGCTTATATCCGGGTTGGGAGTACAAAATAAGAAGCTCTCATTCTGGTAACTTTTAAGAAGTGTGGTACGCTGTTACCCTGGAGTTGATGGCTTTGTGCGCCCTGGTCACTGTAATCCAGAGGTTTGGTTTCCTCACGGGACAAGTGCTGCCAGAATATTGCTGCTGAGAGGAAAACCCAAGGTTCCATCCACAAAATTCAAATGCAGGCCCAGGAAGTATATGGTGGGAACTTGACCGGGGGTTCCTGGTTGCTTAGCTGCCTTTTGTTACCAAACTTGAATGGCTGCTCTGGAGCTGAGCTGTGGTTTCCACTCATGGATAGTGAGGGTGTCACTCTCATGGTGTTGTTCTGCTGTCTCAACAGCTGACGTTTGTCTCCATAATGCCAAGGTCTGCTTGGCTCCTGGAAAGGACCAGATGTGCTTTCCTTTTCTGTTCCTACTGCTCTGAACTATTTTTGTGCCAAGAGAGAGTACAGGGGAGACATTTCCCCAGGGTCACGGTTCTTGAGTTGTGGGGTGTTTGTTATTCACCCTGCTCTCAAGGCTGCAAACAAGGGTGGAAAGGGACTACTCTTACACAAATGTCAACACTGGCCCTTCTCTTAGATAATTTTTAGTCTTCCATGGTTGCTCTCGGTGTATTCTTTGGGCAGCAATTCTTTTATTTCCCAATAGGTAAGTAGACCTGGTTCTTCTGGTGGTATTTTGTGGGATGGACTCACCAGTCTTCTCACCATCTTAGGGATGGGAACTACTCTTCTACTTTGAATTTGCACTGATCAGGATCAGAACTGAACTCTGCATTCCAAATGGGGTCTTGCTGTTGCCTTAGGTGAAGTAGGGAAAAAAAAGTTCAAGATTCATTGTATATGCCTTAATATTAGTCAGGGTCATTAAAAATGTTAAAAGACATGAATCCGAGTACATAGAGAGGAATTTTTAATAGTAACCTCAGCTTGATGCCTCCCAGTTTTTGCACATTATTGATGCTGTCCTTTGGCCAGTTCTGTACCACCTTTGATACTAAGTCCTATCTTTTGCATCATAAGTAATAATTTCTCATGTGGCATTAGATGATATCCTTTATTCAGAAACTAGACTTTTAAGAAAATGTAGGGTTTTGCTTGATTGATCTGTTTTTATGGAAAGTGCGCTGCTGGGCTTTCTTCTAGTTATGTCTTTATTTTTCCTCCATGTCTTTTTTTTCCTTCATGTCTTTATTTTTTACTTTTGCACATTTAAATATTCTGGTTGATGGGGTTATAATCTTTCAGATCTCTCTGCCTCATATGGGCCTTGAGTTTATTATTTTTCAGCAGATGGTACCACCCTTGTTTTTATTACATAGGTTTCAGTTATGTATAGATCCAGGAAATAAAATAACATTCTTTCACAACCTGGGCTGAATATGATTCTGCATCTCTGTGGCTTCTGGGCTAGGCCTAGTACGTAGTGGGTGACTTCCGTTTTCATCATTTAATTCTTTAAGTTTTCTTTTTGCTCCTGTGTTAAATGTCATTAAAACCAAGGCAAAATATTCCATTGTGTTTGGGACACAGATTTGTTAGTTTTCACATTTTGGTTGATTTACACTACATCCATTAATTTCCTCCATTTTCGCTTTATTTGTGACCTAAGTCTTGTCCAGATTTCTCATTCATTTTCCTGTTCTCTTACAGTGCTCTGCATATTCCTCGATGTTCTTTAAAACCTATCCACTTTTGTCAGAAGTTCTGTCCTCCTTGTTTTTCCCTTGCTTTAGGATACAGATGGATTGTGCTCCTTTTGACTTAATGAAATTCCAAGACCACCTCTGATCTGAGTCCACCAGCTCTTTGGTTTATCTCACTGCTAGTTTTCTTCTTTTCTGAGAGGCTGCTCTTCTGAAATGGAAAGCCTAACTTAAAAACTAAGGGGGATGTTTTGTTTGCTTTATCATGCCATTAATTGAAAATGAATAATTTATCATTGCTCAGAATGAGATTTCATTGTTATTTGTGGTTTTGAGACTAACTTTAGTGTCTACCTTTGCTGCTGGCATTTAGATTGTTCGTGTAGCAACAGAAAGAAATTCACATTATACTTTGTGTCATGACTACATGGAGAATTCACAAATGTGGCAGTGAAGGTAGGTAAATCTTTAAGCATAAAGATAAATTAATAGAATTGTGAATTACTTCCAGATAAGGAGACTAAAATGGAATTTCTTCACACTGAGAAGATTATTTTTGCAATTCTTGAGTCCAAAATGCTGGTGTGTCTGGAAGCTTACACTCAGCAGAAGCCAATACTGTCCATTGCCCTTCATAGAGAACTCCTCTTGTTTTGATGATAATGGGCAATTAAAGGGATTTTTCCAGGCCTACCTTATTCATTGGTCACATCTGCAGCTACAGTTTTAGGACTGCGTGTAATAAATGAAACAGAGGGTTGTGGATCAATAGAATTCTGTTCCTTTCCGTGAGATTAATTCAGTGAGTTCTTTATGGCTGTTTGTGATGTCCCAGCAATAGGGCTGGTACACATTTTCCATCATCCTGGGAACTTCCAGCAGAGAAGTCCAGGATAATGCCGTCCTAGACAGTTCTCATAGTCCTCCGGGTTGCTTGTAAGGTCAGTTAATTGCAGCATTGATATCCCTCTTCCTTAGCTGATCCATGGATAATACTATTACAGTCTTTAAAATAGTCTCTCATCCTGCCTGAACAGTTTGCAGTCAGATAAGAGCTTCAGTTTGTCTCCCAAGAGTTACGCTGCTCTGTGCATCGCATATGACAGAATAGGTGTCACCAACTGCAGATATACACGTGTCACTCTTTTTGGAACTGGTTTAAAGTTACATGGACATGCAGATTTGGTGCTGTTCCAGCCCAGGCAATGAACTGTGCAGTTTATCTCCAGGGCATTAGAATCACGGGTTTCCACAAGTGCTATATGGGCCCACATGCTCATTTGTAGGAACTTCTTTTCTTTTACAGGGTAGCAAGGAGAAAATGGCACCTGTTGTTTGCAGCTTTGCCCTCTCCAACGTCTTCAAATCTCTCACTTTTCACCTCAACAAATTGGCAAATATTGGTTGCCTTCTCTGAGGTGAAAGGCACAAAACTCCACTAAAAGTGTTTATAAGTTCTACAGAAATGTGGAGGAGAAAAGCGAGAACTAAAGCTACTATGACTTGTACTATGGAGTTTGGGGGCATCTTGCCTTGTATGAATGAAATCTGTCTCTCTCACTCCTATTCACACTTGCAACTGCTTGAGTGTCATACAAGCTGTTTAATGCTTGACAGGCTGTTTCAATTGGGTTATGTATTATTCTGGCACTTTTCTTGCAGATTTGAAGCCCTCATTTACACAGAGAAGAAACCTCTTTTTTCCTCCTTGGATATTTATTAGTAGAAACCCAATTTTTTTTAGTTAATAATTTATCACACATTATTTTCTATTATTTCTTTTACCTGAGGCTGTTTTTCTGCTGTTCATATGGTGTTCTTTTAAATCCAGTTAGAACTTCTCAAGTAAAACGTTCATTTGGGAGTAGGAGACTGTAACCAAACCACTTATTTTAATTCCTGTCACTCTCCTCCTTTGTCTTCCTACCTGACAATTGAAAATCTGAACACTTTCTCCAGCAACCTTATGTTGGAAGAGACTACCTCATATTTATAGTACTGAGACAAAAAGCGAACAGGAGACCTGAAGTGAAAGGTGTCAATTCTTTAGGCTGGGTGATAGAATGAAACCACACTGCTTGGAGAAAATAGCAAATAGTTTTGCAATGAGTTGTGTACATCCTTGCAATTAGAGCATAAGAAAAAATGTCTGATGTTCATCAGAGCTTTAGAAACATACCAACTTCTTACTTAAAGAATAAGAATTGTGCAGAGAAAGTTGAGAGATTAGTGGCAATATCTGGCATCTAATGAGAAGCCTTCCTGCCTTGATGGCCAAAGATGGCCAAACTTCCCAGAGAAATCGTATGTCTGGTAGTAATGGAACAACAATTGCTTTTTCTTGTTTACATATTAGAACACAAAGTTATTATAACATTTGCACATAAACTTACCCTTTCTGGTGGCTAAACAGAGTATGGATATCTAAGCATGTACATTTACCAGCTTCATTCCGTAGTTAGGCTAAAGTTTGGATGGGGTTTTGTGTGTTGGCACGACATAGACTTCATTCTACATGACTCTTCATATAGAAGATGACTCTCTTACATAGTCAGTGCATGCCTTTAACTGTATTAACCTGGCTATTAGGTTTCAGTTTTGGTTGAAGACAATGGAGTGTGTTTACTTAAGCAAGATGAATTTGGTCCTGGTTATTTTAAAATGGTGACTATTTTTCCTGATCATTCTGTACAAATAGAATTGCTTTAGAGAAGAATTTTTTTCACTCTAGTCTGTTATAATCTGACTCTTAGAAATCAACCATTTCAGTCCTGACTGTTTCATTTTTATCTTGAAAACAGCCATTACTTCTTTATCTGAAGTTCAGTTTGTTTAATGAGTGTGTTACTCTTACAGATAACTTGTCCTGGAGTGCTGCTGAAAGACAAAGAGGAACTTTATCTCAGCGTCTTTGTACTTGGGCAGTGTAAAAAAACTCAGTGTGTCCCTGCGGTGTTTCCACTCTTCTTTCAAGAAAAACTAGTATTTGAAAAGGTAAGATATGTCAAGAGCTAGTACAACTCAAATAAACCCCATCCCAAATTCCACAAAAACCGTCAAGCAATCACACTGAGGATGGCACAGTATTTTAACTACTGCTTCCCTTCAGCACAAAGGAGATGTGTGCCTGTATTATCCACATGCATACTAAAGATTATAATGTATGATGAGACTTTTTAGGTGTTTGTTCCTTCTTTTGTGAACTGTCCTTTCTCAGCATCTGTTTTGCTAGTTTCGAAGGAACTGCATGTTGCTGTTCTAAAAATTATGGCAAGGTGAAGAACAAAGACCATATAATATAGGAGACTCAATTTAATAGAAGGATAGAATAGCAGCTCAAGCCTTTTTGGTGACATCTTACTCCCTTTGAGATACTTTTTTCATGGTTTGTCACCAGAATTCCCAGATTGGTACTCTGGCCCTATAATTTATAGTTGTTTATCACATATTTGAGTCCCTACTAGCTTCATTATTAGTACCACAGGGATAATGAAACACAGTATCTCACAGATATGATCTGGCTTCTTGACTACCTATGAATAATAATACTTTACCCTTTCTAGTTCTTTTCCTTTAAGCATCCCCCCCCAGCACTTTGAAAACCAGGCTGAGTAAACATCAGTGGTGCTCTGGTGAAGTGGGTAAGAAACAAACAGTGATAACTCCACTGGCTACTGAAGAGTAAGAAAGACCATCATTCTTTAAAGGCAGACATACCACAAACTACTTAAGGGAAATGTACTGAATACTGTTTTCAGTGTAATTTAGGGAACCTCCAAGACACCATCTACTTAAAAAAGAAGCTGAACAAGAAAGCTGACAGTAATATCTGTCTTCTTACAAATAGCTATTGATTAGGTCTAGATACTTGTGGAGCACCAGTACTTTTTTGTTTTTTAATGTTTAGTACCTTGAGTAGCAGTGTGACTTACACCATTCTGCTGAGACTTTTATACAGAATTAGGGGGAAATCTATTACCTGCTGAATATCCAGTGCAACATCTTTCCCTATTCCTTGCCATCTGTTCATGTGAGATTCAGGTTAAAAAAAAAAAAACCTGAACGGGAGCCTGTACATGAAGAGTCGCTTCCATGAAAATTAAGCTTAAAGCGTTACCAATAAATTAAAGAATATATTATTCATCTATCAGAATTGCAGTACTTTAAGCAATTAATCTTTTTCTCTTGAAATGTTCTTAGACAATACTTACCACTACGTCTTCAACTCTTTACAATACCTCATAATTTAAATATGGAGAGGTAACTCCTAATGGCTGGAAAGCACATAACGACAATTGCTGGCTTTCAATGAATTTGATCATGTTCCAAATGATAATTGCAGTATCCTTTATTTTTCCAGTAGGGATAGGGCTCTTGAGAACCATCTTGGCAAGGAAGAATATTGATTTTGGGGTTTTTTTTCCTTCTCTTTCCCCAGAAGTCCATCTAATTATTTTGACTGTGCCATTGTTATTATTTATTAATTTCTTTTTCAGGAATTTGCTAATATAGTTGATCCTGGAGACCTTGTGAAATTACTGGAATGTAGGTTCTGCTTTTTATGTATACTATGTTATATCCATTAATGTCATGCATGTGTGGGCTCTAAAGGCTTTTTGGAGGTTTAAAGTATGTGGTAGTTTTTCTGTCAGGAGCCTGCTCTCTGAATAGCTACTGAGTAAGCACTTTGTTGTCTAACAAAATGCCTCTAGAAATGTATGCTACATGCTTTAGAACAGGAAGAGGGTAAAAAGTCATAATTGATTCGAAATTCAGCTGGTTATCCAAATAGGTAATTCGTTCCTTTTTATAGTTATTTGTTTGATTAGTTTTCAAATTATATAAGCATAAACCTCCAATTTTTGAAAAATTATTCATTTCATTATTCATTCATCAGAAAATTATGTCTTGCCACATGTGGAGTATAATGAATTGTAGTGAGAAAACACTGACCCTGAATTCAAACTCCAGGAATATGCACCTTCATACTGAGAGTTATCTGAAAAGTGGGCAAAGCTTACATAATCTTTAAAAGAGGACAAACCTGGCAGCAGATAGAACTTACCAAGTTCTAAGTCAAGTTAGAGTTGTCATTTGTATGCTGCTAATGCCATTGTGTTCATCTCTGATATTTATCCAAGCTGCTTTTAATTTTCTCTTATTGTTGGCGTGATGGAAATAGTACAGCAATGTATACAGTGCTGTGAAGCTTAAATCAGGGATCTGGGGTTTTTGGACTTTGACTATGAGAATTACTTTTCCTTTTAGGTTTGGGTTGGGTTTTTTTTAACTCATGAAAAAACTTTTTTCCCTTCTAGTTGACACAGCAGTACTTGAACTAATACAGCTCGTTCCTCCAGGTATTGTATCAGTCTCTTCATAAATTATGCAGTTTAATAGGTGAATTTCCATGAGGACATTGCCCATTACAGCACAATCACTTTTTCCAACACACAAACAACATAGAAAGCTCTTCAACAAGTAGTCCTCTGAATATAAAATGTTAATAGATCAAGAGGATCTCATTCTTGAAAGAGAATAATAACTGAATATTGAAATGTACCATAGTCAGACTTAGGAAAGTGATAATATTTTAAAACCGGAAAATAAACTGAAATCATCCAGTGCATACTTATTAACTACATCACAATTCACTTGCAAAGAGGCTTTCTGTGAAATTTCAGAGTGCATAATCTTGTTCTCAGAATGACATTTTTTTTCTTCCATTTTAATGGTGACCATTGGGAAAACTCTTATCCTCACTATAAGTATTACAGGTCTCTTGGGATATCTGAAGATAATAAATAGCGATTTGTCATACTTCTGTTATTGGTTTGTGTGATTATAAAAATCTATTTTAATGAAATTCAAGTGTTCCCATGAATAATGTAAATCTGCATTTTATTGGAAATAAAGTCAAGTTTTAAAGAGGACTCATTTGGAAACTGTGGTATTAAAAGCACTCTCAGTCACTTGTCCTTAGTACTTTCAAGGAAACAATCGCTTCTCTCAGGTGACTCACCAGACTGTTTACTTGAAGAAATGCACTGAATGGGGATTATTTTTTTTTTTATATGGGAGAGTAAAAGATCTTGCATAAGGAATTTATTTTCAGGGGTCAGAGATAGGTGTGATAAACTTCAACAAGATGGCTGCAATAGCACAAGTTAAATTTTTTTATAATATAAATTCAAGGCTTTCCCTCTAAACAAAATATATTTATTTTTTTAAAGTAGCAAACCAGGATATTGAGAAAATCTTGGGGTAGTTATTTTGATGTTGCTTGTGTTACTTTCTTGCCACTACTGTGATATGGAATGATACAGTATTTCATAAGGGATTGGTTGCCATTAAAAAATACTGGTTTCTTCCCTGGCATGGAAAGGAAAGAAAGAAGAAACTACCAAAGAGTTTCCTAGAGAAAACTTCTCGTATATCTCTTATAAAACAGTTAACACAGTCTTCTTTGGTTTTTTTTTACAATAACATCAAAACATAGTTTCCTAGTAGATTCTGCGCATTTCTGCTGCTGATTTAACTTGATGAGGTTATTTCCTGGTGTGATAGGAGTTTTGGAGCCATGCTGAAAATTTGTTAAGAGCAAAATTTATCGTGGTTTCAGCGTGGCTCTGTGTGCGGTGTCTATGCTATACGGCTTTGTCTGTTTTCCAATTAAAGTATATATTTTCTTTTTAGTAGGAAGAATTCTAGCTACGTATGAAGAAAATACAAGAGATTTCCTGTTCCCTGACCCTAAGCTTACCCGTGGGCACCGTGGTTTAGAGCGTGAGATTTTAATGAAGAGGTCCTCTTCTTTTACAGTGAGTGAATGTCTGTGGATTGTATTTATGACACAGTCCGTTTCTCTGAAGAAACCCCTTGAACTGCTTCAAATGAAAAGCGATTACTTCTGACAGGGTTTGCCATTTTAGGTGTTGAATGTACAAATCCACAGCTGAACTTTGGTGAAAGTATAATCTTTTCTCAAAATGCTTCAAGGAATTATTTAATGTGAAAAAGTAAGTTTCCACTTGGTTTGCAGTGTGGCACCATGACATGTCTCCATTCAGTTTAATCTGTGGTGCAGCTGGAGCAATGAAGGGATGCAGGAGAAGAGGGAGATGTCATGTAGACTGCATGGTTCTCAACAGATAAACCATGTAACCCTCCTCCTCAGTTTCTGTAGCATTTTTCAGACCATTTTGGAACTGTTTTGGACTATGACAGTCACTACAAATTTACAGTGCTATCCCATCTGACCTGTGGGCCTCCCTGAAGTGCAAGGTTACCAATAAAATAGTAAGTTACTGAAATTTAGCTCAATGCTGCATAATTGCTTTTATGTTCCCAAACCTGTTTGTTGAGGTCTGTTCAGGTCATTCACACTCATTTAGTAACTTGCTTTTTCTACAGTTTCAAAAAAGCTATGATAAACAACAGATAATTGGCAGAATGAGTGCAATGAATTAATGTTAATTTTCTGGAGATAAGGACTCAAGTACCTATTAAATGAAAATGAATTCATCTCACACTGCCCTTTCATAAAGTTTGGCTGTTGAATCTTAAGTGTCAGCAGAATAACTCAGGAAGGCTCATTAATGATGGTGGTGATGGTGTGTTTGGGGATTTGTTTTTGTGTGGTCTATTTTGGTTAAGTTTTACTAATGGATTGGCAGGACATTTGGATTGGGAAGATAGGGACTCGGTTGTCCTGTCTGTTATGATTAGACTAAAAGCACATGGCAGGAGGGAAATGCTGATTAAAGGTCACTGGTATCTTTTAGCTGGTGTAATCTTTCCCTTGCAAGGGCAGCCTGGAAACTGCCCAGTCACTTGCAATTAAAAGTGCTAATTTGGTGTCTAATGCTGTGTTACATTTGAATGCATTAAAACTGTGATTTTGTGCTACAAAACGTATGATTCTGCAGCCCCTGCAAAAACAGCCATTATTTTTTGGCCACAGCACCTCTTTTAGATGGCTCATCCTACACATGGTAGTGGTGGCTTGGGAGATGCAGTGGAACTGTTTTGCTTTGATGCTGCTTATAGAATAGGTACTTTCCCAGTGTTGAGAAATAAGAGGGAGGTAGTGATAAATGAGGTGGTATTAGCTAAATGCTTTTAGATTTTTTGTGAACACGATACAATTAGTCTCTGTAGAAGCAGAGCCACTAGAGAAGTTTGAGGGTTTTTTGAGGGACTAAGTTCTTTAGTACAAAAATTATGTATTTTCCAATAAAGAGAAGGTACCATGATTTGTGAGCTTTGAGAAGACGTGATCAGAGTGATTTGGATATGTAGATGAATGATGGCACTGTAGTAGCTTTAAAAGGTTGATGTAAGACACGAATGTACTTCCATGTCCTTGGGAGCAGCATAAATTGAATCCATCTCTGCACTGGAACGGGGACTGCAGAAGCACCTGTTGCTCCATTCCATCTCCATTGCAGTAAGTACAGTTTGAGGAAGGATTTTGGCATACTGACTCCCTTTTTGGGAATAATGCAGAAGCTGTGTTTGATGGCGTTGGAGGGAGGCTCCCAAAAGGAATTTGTTCCTTTCCTTACTTACATGGGATAACTGTGAGAGGAGTTTTACCTCCACTAGAAATGTAGTCTCCAATACCTCCATCTTCCAGTGTTCCCTGAGCTTTACTGGCAAGTATCCCCTGCTAACTTTGTCGGCACGAAGCACTGAATGTGAATGGTAAGCAAAAGGGAAATGTTAAACAAGGTCGTGAGAACCTTCACATTATTCTTATGCTAGTGAGGCCATGTTCTTCCCACAAGAAAAGTTATTTATAGCTAGCTGAGATGCTGAATATTTTTGACTGGCAGCTGTGCTTCAGTGGCACTTTGATTCCCCATAAATTTGTCTTTTATTAGAAAAATAAAGGTAGCAACAGCGAGGTTACGGTTGTGGAGTTCAGATAGGCAGCGACAAGCAGTGTCTGCTTAACACTGCTAATCTGCCAGTTGGAAGGAATCCCAAGTTGAGAGGATCAGAACTCCTCCAGAAATCTGGCACTTGGCTGATAATGTCTCTGGCTAAATGTCTTATGAGGCTTACAAACTCAATACGCACACAAGACGTGCCTCGAGTTATCTCTCCTGGTCCAGTGTTGCCCAGCTGAGGCTCTTGCTGGCTCTTCTGTATTTCTCTGCAACCCTTGCCTTTCAGAATATGTTTATGCCTTGACTGTGGTAGTGACTTCTTACAGATGTTCTTATCTCCATTCCCCACCCTCATGCAGTATTTGCCATGTTACTTAAAGCAGTTTCTTTTTAGTTATGCTATCTCTCATTAGCATGCCAGTATAAGACCTTCTGTTACATTCATACATATTTTTTTAAGCTACAGAGTTGTACTTACACTCCTTACAGTCAAATGCACATATTAAACGTGGGTTTGAACTTTTCTTCTTCTAAATATCTTCAGTTTTTCCATGATCAGATTAGTGTTATGCCCATATCACTTCTGTTTAATGACTGGTACAGCAGTACTGGCAAGCCTGCTCAGGCCTGCAGACATCACTAAGCCAGAGGCAGAAGAATAGATCCCAAAAACTTTCTGGCTGGATTTTCATTTCCAGGTGTCTTTGGGGCTATACAAGAGTCTTTACATAATACTTTCAATAAATATATTTAATATCCTTCAGCAATCCTGAGTTTGGGAACTGTGGAAATCAGAACTCCTCTGATAGCTTCTGACTTGTAGGTTACTTTCAGCATATCCATGCCTGTGTATGCAAGTGCCATCCTTTATTCCCTCTCCACAAACTATTTCTTCGAAGAAACCATGGATTTGTGCCTTTTTTTTCTTTTTAGCTATGAGCATTTAACAATTTTGTAATCATTTTCAGTCTCTGTAAAAGCAGTAGGTGCTCTATTGTTGCATTTTATAGTAGACTTTCTAATTCTGATGTGTCCTTTCTTACATTGTTGATAGCACTTGACAATTCATTAGTGATAAAAATGAGTTGATTAAAGATGATCAGTTTAAAACCTCTTTTATATGCCGTAACTTGACTTGATTGAATCCTGGACTCTGTTAATTGCTATGACTGAGCTTTCTTGGCATTTTTGTCATTTCATTTCCATAATGTAACCTGTGGCTGGACCATATTCCCTGGTGGGAAATCAGTGTGTGCTTAGGCAGGTGGTGGAGGATAGTTTGGTTCAGCAATAGGCTTCACTCATGAAGTTCATGCTAATTCTTAGGAATGTGGGACAGTGTGACAAAGACTGGCTCCTTTTCATGTCTCAGTGATTTTGTGTGTTCATGTGCACAAATGCCATGCACACAGATGCCTCAGGCAGCCAACTCTGTCCATGTTGAAAGAAGACAGAGTGGAAATTTCTAGAGGCACTTGATTCTCTCTTTGCTTCTGCAGAGCAGCATGCACATGTACGATTCCCACTTGTTTATAGCATACGTGTCATTTAGTTCTTTTATGCCTTTTTTAATGCCTCTGTTTTGGGAAATAATGCCTGTGTGTCGTAATCCCTGCCGTTCACACCCGGTAAATTTTGTATACGTTGCCCAATTCTATCTGAATTTAACAAGAAATAGAGCCTCTGAGGTATTATGTTCCTAGCCATGGCTGCAGTGAAACAAGGTGAGTGGAACAGAAACTGTTGGCCACGTAAAAAGGGAACTGGCCACGTAAATGCTGGCCATGAGTATGTGTGTGCTGTGATTGACCAGGAGGCCCAGTTGGACCCCACTGATTCCAAGCTGGTCAAAGTCGGGCTGCCACATGGGCAAGAGGGGATTGAGAAGAGATGGAACGTGGTTACAGACCAAGGGAGACAATCCACAGAAATCAGACTGCTCTAATGATTACAGAATGAAGGGTATTCTTAGTCCTACTGTTGCAAATGAGTAGTTATTTGCAGCGTGATTGACTAATTAAACAAAATGTTTTTACAAAAAAAAGTGGCACAACTGAGACTATTCATAAATAAGTTTACGAAGTTAGCATTATTGAAACTCCTAGAGCATGACTGAAATTTTTATTGATGCTATGTAGCATGGCATGAAAAATCTTTAAAAATGCTTTTGATAAAAAAAATGTATTGAAATAAAAGTCAGACCTTAATTGTTGTACGAAAGAAGTATAATCATCTGTAATTGAATTGTCAGAAATGCAAATGTTAGCATCTTGACATTTACCATTGCTGTTNAATTATCTTTATTAAAGGCTGAAATTAACAAAGGAAATGTCTGAAAATTAGGAATAGTTTGTTACATTAGGTGACATTTACCTCTTTGATACCATTTATCTTCAGTTGGAGCTTGATGTTCAATTATTGTCTCTCTTCTAGGGAATTGCACCAAAACTGAGATTTTCTACAATCTCCCTTATTGCAGAAAGTCTGTTAAGCTCAGGAAGGAGTCACATACAGGTTAGCATAATTTAATTGTTTGCAATTTAATTTCCAGATTTAATATTGATAGCCTTGCTTCCAATTTTTGCATGTGCTGCTCACTTCAAACTTTTCTCATTCTTCTGTTGTGGTTAAAGCAGTTATCATGGGTGCTTGACAACTTGATTAAATTTTTAATCAAGTATGAGTAAAGAGTGAGTTTGGTGCATGACAGTAAATGCTGAGAGTTCCTTGAATCTGAAACAATTATCAGCTGCTGTGTTCTGTGATCAGCTGAAGTGTCAGTCCCTGGTGTATTTGTAGGTGGGAAGATGGCTTCTCACCATTTGTTACAGGCACTTAAAATTAAGGACAATGAAAACGAGGTGAAGTCAGACAAGGTACATTATTAAAACCAAACCAATTAATTTAATTGTTTTCCATAACTATATCATTAACGGTCATGGAAATGAAGATTTTATTTTTTTGAAATGGCTATCACGTATTTTAATCTGGAAATGCTGCTTCTGCAACAAGTGAAGTTAAAGGTGAAGAAGCACTCTTCTCTGGTCTCACAGATTGGAATTTTGGTTTGGTTTCCTGGCACAAGCTGTCATGTACAGTTACTCTTACATCCTTCTTTTTTTGCCATATTATTGAAAAATGGTGCGGCATCATTAAAATTGAATGGTTGTTAGGAAGTGTTGCATGCAAAGACACTTAGGTGAGTTTGACCTGTTTGTGGCATTGTTAATGAGTCCACGGAGAAGTTTCTTCCAAATTTGGCAAATGAAATATATTGAGACAGAAAAAGAATTAAAAAAATCAGTGAATATTGTCATTGTCAGAAAACCTGATTCTGTGAAGGTGACTTGAATAAGGGAGTTTGATTTAAAATTTAGAATGTCCCTAAAAGTGTCTAATATGTTATGAATAGCATATCAGATTTGCTTGTGTTAAAGTGAAGATTTAGTTTCACAGCTGTTGTAAGCCAGAAGCAGCACAGCCTACTTCTAATGAAACCGAAATTAATCTCAAAGAATTAGGTCCAGTTTGTGTGGGCCAGTTCCATCCTCTGTCTCACTGTCAGCTGCACAAGTGGTAGTTCAGGCTGCGTGATGTCAAATTCAAACTGTGTTGATGCAAAACAAAGACACAACCTCAGCCTCACTCATGGTTGGGTGTAGAGAACTGAAGGCAAGCTGGACATTTTATTTTTTGGGTTCCTGAAGTAGTACAGGCAACATGCAGATTTAAGACTAATGCCAACTAGCTTGAGCTTGAAAAAGAAGTTCTAACAGGAACAAAAGTCTTGCTATACCATTATTTTTTATCTTTTACAACCTGTGAAATTGGGCCAGATTTCACCAAAAAGCCTGATTATCCATATTGCAGTATTCAAAGTTAAAACATGCTGCTGATTAAGTAGCCTGGTAAGAGCTGTAAAATCTAGAGGGTTAATGGCCAGCCATGGTGGTGTTTATTCTAAGATTGGACTTGATGATCTTGGATGTCTTTTCCAACTCTAATGATTCTGTTATTTAGGAAGATCTTTGGAGGATGGTCTTAAAAGTTTTGGGGTTATTTTTTGGTGGGGGGGAAGTATTTTTCTTGACTAAACTTCTTGATTATAATTCTTTAAAGAAACTAGTAAAATTCACCATGGTCCAAGAAAATATGAATTTCAGAGAATGTAATTACACTTTTTTTAGGCAACTCTAAATGGATATAATTTAAACTGTTAAATAGGCTTCTGTTTTAATTTATATGTGTTATTCTAGATGGTAAGAATTTTAAAAGGTTAAAATAAAAGTTTAGACAGATGGAAATACACTTCAAATCTGTGTATGTCCAATCCAGGTAAAGTTTGTGTAAAATACACTTGTGACAAAATTCAATTTCATTTTTTACAGTCTTTGTACACTAACTGTGTCAGAAAGCTAATTGAGTAAGTATCACTTAACCTTAACATCTAACGTGTAGTAATGTGTGCTTTAACCTTCTGGTTTCAGAGAAAATGGTAAACATGTTGTTTTTTAAATTGCTGTTTGATTATAGTTCTGTGAGGGGAACTTCAGATGGCATGGCATCTATGTCTGTTAAATTATTAGTTCCTTGTTTGCATTACGTTCAGTGATCTTTGTTCTCCAACGCTGTCGAATCAGATCATTTCCTCTTCTTCGCTTTAGGCTGGTCTGAATGGGGTGCATCGTTCAACCCCAAATGGAAAACTGCACACAAAGGTGCTGAAGAAAAACACTCTCTCACCCGAGAAAAGCAGGCACAGCTCGGCATCAAAGAACTACGAGCAGCCCACAATAGCTTCGAAATCACGCTCTCCGTCCCCGTACACCAGAAGACGGATGTGTGAGCTCTCAGAAGAAGCCAGGCAGCGCCTGGCCCATTTAAACCTGGGTCCTCACGAGTTCAGAAGAGAAACCGATAAACCTCCGTTCGTAGTTAGACGGGTTTGTATTCGCTCCAAAGTGCTCCCAGCTTAAGCTCAGATCAAATATTGTTCTTTCGCTAAATACCGCTCCAGAAATTCATTCAGCTCTGAGTTTAGATGAATAATTTTTCTCTCCTTAGCAGTCTGTCACATAGTGATTTAAACGTAAAATTAACTAAAATAAAATTTCTTTTATCCGCTTTAGTAACAGACAAAGATCAAATTCTTTCATGAATATCTTGGTTAAATTCTCTGAGGCCCCATTTCTTTTCTTCCAGCGCACTAGACAGGATAATAGGTGTATAAATTCAGCTTGGAAGTAATTGATATTAGTATTAAAAATTCCTGAATAAGACTTTAAAGAAAGAGTGTCTAGTCACATTATGAACACTTACACTTCCTCTCTTTCAACTTTTTTTTTATGTTGGCATCCTGTGATCTTTGAAGCACTTCCCTTGCTCAGAGCTACATCTCGAACACTCTGACTTAGAGTTTGTAACATAAGGACTTTTTGCCATACATGAAAAATTGTTCTGATATTAGGTACTTATTTAAAGAAATTGTGTGTAAGAGGTTTAAAATGAAGGGGCTACATTTCCCAGCCACTTGGAGGATTATATACTTCTATTTATTCTTTTCCCCTCTTAATTTTAATTCTGATTGCAACAATCCTTTGGTTTTAGTAAACCACTTTGAACGTGTAGGGGCAGAAATGGGGTTGTTCTTATCCTGTGCTATGACATTATGATTTGTCTACAGTTTTGGACATTGTCCCAGGCAGTGAGATAATCTAGTGTTTAATTTGTTTGCTTCTCACTTTATTTTTTTTTTCAGTATCTGTACAAATTAATTAATAATATCTTGTCAAATTTCAGAATTCTTTTCCAAGTTTTATTCTACTTATAGGTACCTTTTAGAAATTCAGAATAGCCTTAATAAGTCATTAGTCATTTATTAATCAACTGTTTCTTTCTCTCAGATATTTTTCTTTCAACTCCTTTTATTCAGTTCTTCTGGTTTTTGGTCTGTAGCTGAAGTTCACAGTTTAATTATGGCATCGTTAACACTGATTATTGATTTTCAATGCTTGGCTATGTTTGTATAAAAAATGAAAAAGCTTCTCTGTTAATTTAGCATATCCTGATTGTCATGGCCTTTCTAGACTGAGAATGCTCTTTTTAGGGCATCTTTACTGTTGAGGACTCTTTTGGCCTGGAGACTTTGTGTTACATGAAGATTAAAATTGGATTATGTCAAATGTAACTTTTTTAATTAGGAAGAGATTCAGATCTGTCTTGGTGAGATCTGAGCTGTTTAGAATAAATATGAGACACCAAGAATTGTTTAAAAACACTGCAGACATTACAGATGAAGGATAAACTATCTGCATTTTCTTTTTTTTTTTTGGACAATAGGATATTCAGAGTTTTCTAGACCATTCTAGAACTGTTTTGTTTTATGGACAGTAATGCTAATAATACACACTAGCAAAGTGTTATGAAAATAGTTTTAAATAGTACTTAAAGAAGAGTAAAATATTTTAGAAAGTACTAGATGTGATCTTATGAACAAAACCAGAAAAAATAGGAATTGATACATTTGATACTGAGTATTTTAACAGTATTTTTGCTTCAGGTTGAACAAAGAAGTCCTGGTGTTAAACTTCATACCTGGTGTTCCATGCGCGAAAGCGCAGCGGGATCCTGGGCCAAGGCAGACCATGGTCAGTATTTCCTACTATAGATCTCACTAGTGCTTTTGATTTCTGCAGTAGGTTATTTTGTTTGGGTGGGGTTTGTTATAATGTGGGGGTTTTATTTATTATAAAAAAGTCAGTCTGTAATGGACAAAAAGCTGTTAGTTCTTCCTAGGAATAGGAAAAATACTGAATAAACTACTGCTTCCAAGGGTGCCCTTGAATAATCCTTTACCTCCTGAAACTTGGAACATAGTTCTACATGATGTGAAAACAGGAGTAGAGAATACCAAAGCCATACAGGCGAGTGCTCTGTTTCACTCCACTTGTTTTGGTGAGTGGATAGTGGAGCAAATCAGCACCACGGTTTGTGGGTGTGTTGACCAAGCTTGGAGTGCTGATTATTTTGAAGTTCAAGGGCTCTGTTTCTTCAAAAATGAATAATGATTATTTCAGCAGTATTTGTGAGTAGTGAGATCAGTGACTTACCATTATTAATGAGCATCCAGGACGTGCTCCAATATCTGCTTCAGCATTCTTTGGTAACAGTAAGTGAGGGTTTAATAAAAAGTGTGGGACCAGAAATTTAAGGAAGTGCCCTAAAACTTGATTTTATTGCATGTGTCTGACAATTTGAGAATTTTAATGAGTCTCATCAGTATTTGTTTATGTTTGCTGTGCCTCATTTTATTGCATTTCCTCACTAATTATAAATTGTTTACATCAAATCATTATGAACAGGTTATTTTACATTTGTTGTGTGTCATAGCACTGGGTGCTGGATTGTAAAGGTTTCACATTCCCTTTGGGAACAGGCTCACCAGTCTGTGATCTCTGAGTAATGTAAGAGACCTATTATCATCTGATACCACTGCATACTTACAAACTGAGTTGGTGGTTTCTGGCTAGTAGTTAGGAGGCTGAATCTACCTCAATATCCAGAGGATTTACTGGTCACTTGCCTGTGTCTTGAGGCTTATCTGTAACTTCTGAAAAAAACCAGATTCCTGGGATTAGAAATCTTAACAGACAGTAGAGTTTAGTCCTTTTTTGTTTTTCCTGGGTCACGGTGTGAGGGTTGTTCAGTACAAACTGATATAGCAGATCAAGAAGGCAGACATAATTTAATGGCAGTCCCCCAGGGTTGAGGTGCATATTGACACAGGTGAAAAATCCCAACCCAGTATGGACCTAAGAGTTTCCCAGTGTAAGTTTCCACGGGCTTCATACTCGTGTCTGTGGGTCAGTGGCGAGGGAAGGAATGCAGAGGTGATAGGAGGAGGGAGAGTTGGTCACAAGGAAACTTGTTCAGAGAGGATTAGTAAGGTAGAGTAATGTACATGAGAATTTTGGGGAATGGTAGAGCTTGATTTGATATTGATTTAGGCAATGAGTAGCATAACAAAATGTGCCCCTTCTGTCTATGCAAAAAATGGTGCATACCCTGATTCATTATTATAAACATTGTATTCCATTAAATGTGAAGTCATGGTTTTCAGCTAAAGAAGGTGATTTCCTGAAAGATACTGAGGAGACTGTTTAGAATTTCACAGGGTATAATAATAATAATAATAAATTGCTTTAGTTCTGTTTGGGAGGAGAGGTAAGATGCCTTGTAAAAGCTTTTCATAAAATTTAGGACATTCAAATTTCTTTTTAATTTCTTCTGACATGCACCTTTTTTCTTTCTCCAGATCCTTCTCTTCTCGGCAGCTACAGACCCAAGAAAGCTGAAGTGAGTACTGTGAAGTGCTATTGGTAACACGTTTTTTTGTGAAGCTCTGAGCTTCCTAATCCTTCTTGGATTGTCTCGCATAGATATTTTTGAAACTTTATCTATTTCAGTGTCAAAAGCAAGAAAAAGGACATTTTAAACTGGTCTAACCCAGTTAAGGCCTGCTGATAGGTTATTTACAAACAGTAAAGGGAAACTTAGGACTCTGTAAAGATGCTTATGCCTGCAGGTACAGAACTTGGTTTTCCTTGGCATTAAGGCTTGCAACAAGGCCATAGAAGAGTCTTTAAATGCACTTTGCATTTGCCTTCCCAGTCATTCTGAGAGCATTCTTCCTTCTGGAATTGTATGGAAAGGTAGCACTGGTAGAACTGGCAAGCCAGTTGTGTTATTTCTTATCCTTTCTTTTTCAGATTTTAGCTTCTTTGTGTATTAAAAGGATCTGAAGATTAATGCCAAGGTTCTTTTGGGTTTTGGTGGGCTTTATTCCTTACATCCTCATTTAGTTGTTTTTTTGCCTGTGTTCCTGTAGAAATTGTGGGTTTAGGCATTTAATTATGTATGCCCTAATAGATTTCCTAATGACTGGGAAAACTGGTGATAACAGGGAGGAGGAAAGAAGGGGAATTATAAGGATAAACCTTGATATATGTTAAATGCACTTTCAGACTCTAAACTTTTATTACCAAGGATTACCAAGTTTCGTGTACCATGTGAGTCTAATATATTGTGCCACTTCTGGATTGTTCCATGGCTGTAAATGAGAAACAGTAAAGAAAATAGAGAATTTCTACTAAATATGCTAAATATCTCTTCCTTTTTTTATTTTAAGGTCACATTATCACCCCCATCCCTCTGCCCCTCCCCACCTCCTTTGCCATCCAGTGGGAAAGTAGATTGTAGGAGCAGTCATTGGAGAATGCAGAAGATAGCTGAGCTACAGGTTAATTCATCATGTTCTTGATGCCACCAATCACTTGTGATTCTCACAAAACCAGGTTTGAAGAGAATGTATCTTTCTCTTGACAGAAATATAATATAGCTTTGTTTTAGAGGAGCTGTTTCCCAAAATTGAGGAAAAAAAAGCCCTGCAGCCTGGAAAGAGCTAATGAATAACCTTATTATTGTTGATCTGGTTTTGGTTTTTTCCCTCAGCTTTGGGAAAGTGCTTCTGTAAAAGTCTCCATGCCAGGGAAAAGGGGAGTAATCCATGGCAACATTTTAGTGATGTGTTTCAGGTTAAGAGGAACTATGAAAGGTTTAACTAGTATAGTGAAGAGTGAGTATAAGATGAGTAGATGGGCCTGAGTCTTCCCTCGAGGAACAGCAAATTCTGAGAAAAAAAAAGTCTTAAGAATGAGAGATCTCAGAGTGAGGAGGAGTCTAAGATTTGAGTTGTTCAGACTCTCAGGCATTATTCTGAATCTGTGATTCCTGGAAAGGGTAAGCCTTTAAACTCTGCAGTCATAAAAGGTGATAAAAGGGCTGTTACAGCAGACTTTGCCATAAGATGGTGTGTTAGTTACCAACAGATTCCTCTGACACTTGTTGATTACTTTAGTCTAGGGCTCTTTGTATGAAATGAGGGTCCTTGTTCTTTCGCCAGCAGACAGATATTCCTGAGTGTATGTACAACCTTTAACCTTTTGAGTTGAGAAATAAAAACACAAAAACTGTACTCATAATAAATTTTAGCTTGGCGGGGTATTTTTCAGGCAAAATCTGCTCGTAGAAAAGACTTGGACGGTTGTGTTGTTTGCAATGAGGATGAGCTCTCAGGTCCACCCAACAGACAGTCCCATTCTGCTGGTTCATTAGAGCGTTCAGCACCTCCTGCATTTCAGGAGCATTCCCCGAGTTCTGTGCTGCATCGGTCTTCTCTAAGGGAAAGGTAATGACCTGGTTTTGTTTATGAAATTCTGGAATTATTAATGTGAACAGATGATAACAGTACTTGCACGTCTATAGTTTGCATGTGTGGAGGTGTGTGGGCTGAAGGGACTGAAAAATCATCTGCAATAATGATGTTGTTTGACTTTTCCTCAGGTCATGTGTTTGCCATCACCTCTCTGCCTAATGATTACAATCCTAATAACGTGGCAGTGAAAATCTCTGTAACAATGACACCCCAGATTTCATGCTGCCAATGTCCATCTGAAACAGAGAATACTCAAATCATCAGTGTTTCAGAGGCAATTAGTATCTCAGGAATGTAAATACAGATACATGTCAAGTAGGTTTTACAGGAGGTACTTGGAAACCTTTTTCCCTTCTGACTTAGGACTAGTGTTTGTAAGCACGTACTCGTTGGCTGTGCTGTACTCAGAGTGTGACTAGTGTGCATAACATGCTTGGGCAGCTTTAATCTACTCAGTGTATTATATTCCAATCTTTTTGCTTTATTGACATCCTAAGATTTTGTTTTGTTTGAATTGAAGCGTGGGCCTCTGCAGCAATTGTGTGTACATTAATTGCTATATTTAAATTAGTTTTCTTAGCAGTCTCCGCTGACCCCAGTGGGGTTGGGTTGGAGACAGTTTCTAATAGCCCTTAGTTCTGTGGATTTCCATCCCTGGATTAATATTTTGGGCACACTTCACAGCTTCAGTGTCTTATGAGAGTGGAATGGAAGAATTATCAAAAAGCAACAGATGGTTCAATGCTTAAGCCCTGCAGTCCTTCAAGGAGAGTATTCCCTACCTCCTGCTGAGTAGAAGGTGTACTTGGTGCTTCTCTTGTAAATTCAGTGAGTAAGTTACGGGTTTTGCTTTGTGGGAGCAGAAAAACTGTGTACAAAGCTGGGCCTGAGTAAGCAAATACATATAATAATTGGGAGAAACTAAGGATTAAACTGATGTCTTGTCCTAAATGCTGAAGATGTACTTTGGTGGCTGGTTCATTCTCTGTTTGATCCCTGTTGCCATTGGTACCCCAGGTAGTCAGTGCTTGCAGGGTGCATTTTACAGCCTACACACAGCCCAATGCTTGTTTTCAAAATAGAAAAACTGTCTCAGTTTTTTCTTTAAAAAGAAAAATGACAGATGGCAGGTGGGGACTGAATTTTTAATACTCACAAAGATCAAGATGGTGTTTTAACATCTTCCTCTGCTTGAAAACTTGTTTGTTAGTTGTTCTGTGTAATAGTGTGTCTTGAGAAGTGCTTTGCGGAGATTAGGATGTATCTGGGGTTTGGAGGAGGTTCCTTTGTCATCTTGTCTGCCTCCCCACTCTCTTCTGACAATGTTTGTGCATTAGTTACCCATATCTGGGGAAGAGATACTGTCATGGTGACTTTTTTATCCTTTTCTTCAGCTGGATTCCTTATGGAGGGGTTGGGGCTAAATTATATACACATTTTATTTAAAGCTGATGGGGCGCCTTCTGTTGATAGCAGGAAAGCCTTGTGTGTTATGAGCTGCTGTTACATGCATAGTAATTTAGTCATCTGCAAGTTAATCTTGAACTTGTCTGAATGTTCTTGCTTTTTCTCTTTATGAGCCCCTCTCCGGAAGAGATTTCTGATCTTGTGAAATTATGTTTTTTCTTCTTATTAGAGCAAATGTTCTCAGCTCATCTGAGCTGTAACATCTCTTTATGTAAAAGATGTAACCATTTACTTCTGTCATCAGAAAAAAATTCAAAATGAGAAATAAAGGGCATAGTCTAAAAATTTTGATCTCTGTTTCATGCTGCTGAGATAACAATGGTTTTAGCTGATTGTGTATTGAGAGTTATACTTGGAATGACAAACATGGTTCAGAGGTCAGTGTTTGGAAATGCATGCAAACACTGCTGTTCAGATCATAGAAATACAGGAAAAATCAGCAGTACTGAAAGTATATCAGTGTTAGTGTAATTGAAAGAATATGGAGCCTTATCTCACAGCATTTGGTGTTTATTTCCTCAGTTTTATTTTGAATTACAAAGACAAATTGCTTAGCACATCCAGGCTATTTTTTTTAATGCTAGTCAATCCACAGTCAATATGAAACTTGACTCCCCACCTTGACCTTTAGTTCCCTCTTTTCCCTTTCTTTTTCTAAAAAGTAGTGTGAAGTGATGTCTGCCTTAGGAGTACTTTCCAGAGCCCTGCTCTGTAGTTCTTAAGCCACTGCAATACTTTTTAGTGGTACAGAAATTGTGGTCTTCCTTATGCTCCCCTGAGCCCCTTTGTATCCTTTCTGGCAGTTTTCAGTCCTTTTTCTATGAGCCTGCCGGAGACACCACAAATCAATCCTCTTCCCTTTTCCCCACTGGGTTTGAGACAGAAGCAGAACTGATTTACTACTGAACCAGACAGAAAAGTTTTGCATATTTATTTTTCATACTTTATTTTTACATTATTTACATCACTTAAGGAAACCATTTGCTGATGCTGAAAGCTGACACTCAACAGAATGATGTGGCCATACAACCAGAGGTCCTTTCCAACCCCAAATACTCTGTGATTCTGCGATTTTTGGGTTGTAGCTCCTGTGCAGACCAGTGGCACATACACACCCTGGAGTTCCTGCCCTCGTGTGTGACCAGCAGTGTGTCAAGGCAGGTGACTTGCCCCCCCCAGTCTGGTTGGTTGTGCAGAGATCAGTGGCCTCTTGTGCAGGGGTGAGCATCCTGAATGCCTTGGGAAAGAGCATTAGTACTCTGTTGTCTCAGTGCTGCTTCAGGAAAGCAGCATTTGAGTCCAGTCCTTGCTTTCGTCGTGCACATCCCTCCTCATGCATTCCTAGAAGATGGTGTTTTTCTTGGGGACTTACAAGCTAAGCCTTCCCTGCAGCACTGAAACCTGCAGCAAAGTACCTTTCATAAAGGAAAGGAGAAATAGTGAGATGGATTCTGTAAGGTCAAGAAGTCCTTTGAGCAGAGCTGTGTGCTGGCACAAGAGAAATCCTTTTCTCAAGAGACCACAACAATCATAGGAGTATTTGACTATTTCTGTTATGTGAGAGGCAAAGCTACTTCTCATGCATTTGGGATCAAAGGATTCTTTTTCCTACTCTGGAAGGAGCACGCTTTTGCTTTTGTTTCCAGACTGAAGTACAGCTTGATATCTTTTTTCATGTTCTCCTGGTTATGCTGCTGCTATGTGATCTTACCTACTATAAAATCTAACAAAAACCTAAGTTCTCTTTGAAGTGAGAGAGAGGTTAACTGTCTGGATCAGATGCCCTTCTGTAATATTCCTCTATTGTTTAACTACCATATTTTTATATTATCTTTTTCAAAGTAGTAGGGAAAGAGCAGCATGAAGTTAGATATTGCTAATGATAGATATAATGATAGATAACAGATATTAATGAAATATTAGATCCTACATGAAGTCCTTGAAAATTCCAGTTATCAGAATCAGTGATCTTGAAATGTGTCATGCCAGGATCTTGGGGGTTAGTTTTGTTGCACAGCAAAATCCAGACACAGGTAGTTCGCCTTTAGAGGCTGGCATGCATCCTAAGACAGGGTTTGCTTCTGTGAGAGTGTATGTTTTCAGTGCTGAGAACTTTCTACTACAAGGTAGAACACTGAAAAACATTGCAGACTTTTTAGGAAAAAAGCTTGCTCTGGGGAGAGGCTGCAAACTAGGTTTCCTGTCTATTTCTAGCCATTTAAAAGTAATTATTTCTGATTTTTGGAATTCAGTTTGGTAGGAAGGTTGTCCTTGTATGGTTTGGGTTTATCAATCTCACCTCTTGGGGAAGTTGACTTATTTTGTATTCTTTAAGTTAGCTTCTGGAATCAGCACTTGAAAATCAGTTATTTCATACTATATTCTGCAAAACTGAGCAGTACCTGAGCCTTGTTTCATATTTTTGACTAACATCTGTACTATTTGTCATCTTCATTGGTTGGTTTTGCTGCAGCAGTAAGTAAATTTAAAATTGATTGCTGTCAAAGCCATTTTGTGTATAAATTAATAAATTCAGAAAAGATAGAAGGTAATGGAAAAGCTTCCAAAGAGCATAAGGAGGTGCAGCCAATTTGTGACATGCTAATGATTTAGTACCTGAATGGCTTCAACCTTTTGGGGGCAACTACTCAGCTGGAGTATTGACTTTCATTGAAATCTCGGAAGCTGTCTGCCATTTAAGTTTCACTTTTTCCATGAGGATGATGTATAAGGGCTGGGTATGAAAAGGAGAGAAAAGAAAGCATTTACTAATTTAAGAACTCAACACTGAATTTGTCACTAGGCTTCAAGGCCCAATTGTAAACAGGGCTTTTGAAAGTAAGAAAAACTACATAGAAAACATGGGAAATTTTTACCTTTTTTTTCATTTCTTACTGAAGAGGGAGAGCAAATTGGTACACAGCTAAGCTGTCAGCTTCTGCTTCCAAATATTTAGGCTTCTGTGCTTTGATTTAAGGCCTTGGCTGTGTGTAGTTGTTTCTGCTCCATAGTAATATTATGCCCTTGTGAAGCATCCTCCCTCCTCCACTGCAAATATTGTGAGAATGTCGGGGGATTGTGTTGGTATAACTTCATTACAGTTCAGGCTGGTATATACCAAGATAGTCTCTAAAACACTTCAGAGCTGCATCTGCACTAAGTTGCATAGCCATTGGTCATTTTAAGGAAAAGCAAAACAAAACTGTCCTTGACTAAACTGCCCAGAAAAACTCTTTAAATGTAGCCCAGCTTTCCTATTGTGCCTCCATACAGACTAGTATACACTGCAAACTAAGTCCATCGTACTGAATTACCACTTCATGTCCTCTTAAATGAGAATAAAGCAACTTCTTTCCTTACTGTGAATGCTGAATAAATGCCTGCATAGACACAAAATCTGGGAGAGGGTTTTTTTTATTTCAGAATCAAATATATTTGGCTTTGTTGAGACTCTCTCCTGTTCCATGTATAAGTTGTTGCAGATACTTTCAGGAGCTTTAAGAGCTCTTTCTCCCTCTTCCCCCCCATTACAGTAGCGTTGTCTCCATTTGTGAATCTGGTACTACAGGACTTCATTGATTTCCGCCCTCTGATAGTTTGTCCTTGTGTGTGGTTTTGCTCAGCATGAAGTCTGTGTCTTTGAAGCTGATGAATTCTTCGTGGAGGCCACATGCACCGAATTGTTCACGAGGCGAGGACGTGCCATGGTGGGGGAAGGGGTCACGATAGGCATTGCAAATGTTCTGCAGCAGGATTTTGCATTAATTCTGCTGATATGAAATGTATTAGTATCTCCTGCTGAAATGTGATATTAATGTTTTTGCTGTGTGCAAGTGGATGATTGGATTGTCTGACATTTAAAAGTTCCTATTTATTACAGCTCTCGAGTTTGCGAGCCGCTGTTTGAGTAGAGTGCATGGGTGGATGTATCCTGTTTGTATTTCTAATGGAGTATTTCATCCTAATGGATAAAATTATACATGAAAATAATCTTTAGCACAAAATCTACACTGTCTGCCTGGTTTCTTTTCTTTTTTTCATCATGGTAGATGTTGTCTGTATGACCTTAAAAAAAAATCCTTATCTCATAAAAGAAAATAAATGCCTTTAGTCACATTACAAGGGAAAATGGTTCTGTTTCCTTGATCAGATTCAACACAACATCTTTGAAATTAATCTTGAAAAGTTCTCTGATTGATCTGGCTTTTTCTAGGTCACTGAGCTATATTTCCAAAGTGTTTATACAATCTATTGGAATCAATAAACAATTTAAACTGATGTAACTGCAGAATGTTTGCAAGTCCCAGGGAAAATTGAAAGTATGACAAAGAATACAGCTGTAGAAGTTTATTTCGTTTATCAGGACAAACAGTCATTGAAATGAAATGACTTTCCTTTCATCACTGCAATATGGTAGTGACACCTTAATCACATAAATAAGTAGCTAGTCATTTTAAAGGGTCGTTACTGGTGATTTTGGGCAAATGGAATCCCTTTATTTATACTCCAAGAAGCTGTGCTATAAAGCCTGTTTTATAAAGTATTTCCAATAGGAGAGTTAGAATATCATAAAAAGGTTTCACTTCAGATTATAGTTGTTACATTTTAGGCATGATTTTATTTTAGTTTGCGTTTCGGTTGGTGTAAATATTAACATTATACTTTAAACGTGGATTAGACTCTATAGTTGTTACTAAAATTAGACAATAAAATACTAGAAAAGCTAATTAAAAAGAAGCTAATACCGTTTTTAATCACCCTTAAGCTTTTGATTTTATTTTTTTTTTTTTTTTGGTAAATGAAGTTTGTGTGAGTGGCCAACGTTTGTTATACCACAGCGCACACTAGTGGATTGATCAGTAAAATCACCTGGAGAAAGAAATTTAATAGTTCACGAATTAAGTACTTAAATCTTCTTCTTCTTGCAGACATGGCCGTGTATTTTCTAAGTGAATACAATAGCTAGCTGGGTTTTCTTTTACATTGCAGGTAAATACATTTACCTCCAAGGATATTTGTAAATTTAAGGTTAATAACAATGATCTGAAATCTTACATAAGAATTTCATAAAATTTATTTCCCAAAGGCAATATATTCCAACTTCTCAGAGCCAGCCACCTGAATGTTGGAAGAAGAGCAGCTGCTGTATAAATAAGAGAAAATGCCATGACTTCATGAGTCTATCTTTTATTTGTCAAATGGGAAATGTCTCACTCTTACTGCATCTAGGATGCACATTTTTAAACATAGATTTCAGAAGTCCTTTAATATCAGTAAATGTTGTAAATCCTAATGGGAAGTCATAAGATGATAATACCTCTCCTGCCCCTTTCCTTTACCTCTGTTCTTTGAAAAAAAAAAAAAAAGAAAGTTTTTTTTTTTACCAAAGCACAGGTGGTGATAGAGCACATGCATTGTAATGCAGTACATCAAACTGGGTTTGACTGCATTGGGGAAATGAATGTTCCTGCCTGCTTAAGGGACTCACACTTCTGTTTCTTTAAAGGCCATGCTTTTCTCCTCTTAACAAAATCCACAAACCATTTTACTTTCATTTAGAAAATGTTATGTGAGGTCTTTCAGTGCAACAAATCACTGGATTCTAGTGTGCAAGACAATTGTGCAGTGTGGATTTGCCATACATGCTCCTGGGCTTGAAATTAATTGTAAATGCTCAGGATGCCAATACAAGTGTTATGACCAGTCTTGTGAAGATTCTTGCCTGTAATGGTCCCAAGATAACTGTTAAAATCATTAGAAATATGGAAATACATCCCCCAATGGATTATATGTTTTGTCCTTTCAATATTGTGTCATTTCTTGGCACCCATTCTTGAAGAAAAATAGAAACATTCACGAATAGGTGATTTGATTTAAAGAAATTTATAGATAAGCTGAAAATACTGGGGCTGTTTAGAACCGAGAGAGATATTTTGGAAAGATAAGCAACAAAAAGTGCATCTAAATAAGTTGATTAGATAGAAGAAGATAGAAGAAAATAGAAGAAAATTACTCAAAAGCAGAGAACTGGTCACTGTCTACTAATATTTCAGTCTATCTCTCTCATAATAGAAGGGCTGATCCAAAGGATAGCAAAGAGTTCTGTGCCCTTCCTGTAACCTTCAAGGCAGCCTGGCACTTCCCATTTTCAGTATCCTGCTTCCATTAATTTTAACACTGCCAGGCTACTGTTTTGTACTGAAGCTTTCTGTGTGTATACTTGGTTTCTTCTTTTTGGAAGGAGCTGTACAGTTCTTTAGCTGTGTTGAAATTTCTGGAGGTTTGGTGAAGGTGAACTAAGCCAGGCACGATCAGACTGGGGATTTGAGAGTGATAGACTGGATAACACAGGGAATGTGATAAACTGGAGAGGAGAGGGCAGGAGGACTTGCAGTCCCAGTCCTACAAACCCGCTCAGAGCCCACTGTGGAATCTCAGGGTTCAGGGTCATGATGTTTCTCCACTGCATTAAATTTGTGAAGGCAGCTGTCAAAGTATTGTTGCTGTTCCTGGTGCTGCTGGTCCACTGAGGGTATGGCAGCTCTGCCCTGCTGTTGGCTGCTGTTCCATGAGTTGGGATTGCAGTGGCATGGCTCTCAGCTTGCCCAGTGACCCCTGTTCATATGATGATACCATATCATGAGTTTTTATTTTCTTGGTGCAAATTGAAGTTCTCAGAGGTTAGGAAACACTGAAATGAAGGTGCACAATCTTCATTTGGCACCCAGTTTCTATCCATTGTGATGAGATTGAGTAAGTAAACATTTAATAACTTTTCCCCAATAATTCTTTCCTTATATTGATGTCCCTTTTTTTTTAAATACATTTTTTAACGTACTAACACGTGGTTGGTGTGTAGATGATTCTGTTCTTAAAATATTATTTGCCTCCCTTAACAGACTGAGATTAACTATTGATATGAAATTTCTGGCATGTTCTGAACTTCTTGAGAAGGATGAGGGGATTTTTTTTAGTAAATGGCAAAAAAATGTGATCCAAAACATAAAAGGGTAAAATCTAAAAGTAGCTGTTAGTTTCAAGTTACTCATACCAAGGAAGCAACCTGCTTTTTAATGTAAAAAAGCAACTTAAAATGTAGTCCCTCTTATGAAATAAAGACGTTGAATTTGCTGTTCTCTAACTCCATGTGTTTTCCAATTTGCACACACCAGGGTTATCTTCCTGTTGATTTTTTCCAGTGAAAATAATTCCATGTGTGCAATACTTCCTTTAAAGAGAGGAAAATGAAACCTGATCACTGGGAATAGTGTAGCTTTTCTGTTCTGTAGGGACAATACTCAAGTTACAAAACTATCAACATTTTCCGTGTTTTGCATCTTCTGTTGGTGTTGTGGCTGCATACTGTTTATGCAATGCTTTGAAATGTTTCTTTACTTGTACCCCAGAGGAGAGAAAGAATCAAATCTAAACACTGTGCATGTTCCAAATAGGAGGAAGTAATACATGCTTCATAATTACAAAAAAAAAAAAAAAAAAGGAAATCTGAGTCGAAAGCATGTTTGAGCTTTTCAGCAAGAAAATATTTCTTCTCTTTGTTTTTCTTCTTGCAGGTTTAGCTCTGGTTGGCCTTCACCAGCAAATGGAGATGAGATCCATAAAAGAGTGAAAAATATTTTAAGGACACACAGTGCTAGGCAGCGCCTAATATTTGTAAGTAAGACTGCAAACTCAATTCTTTCTTTTCTCCAAAATGACTGAGGAAGAAAACTGTGCCTACAGTCTTGGATTTGTTATAATGTTGTCCTTTGAGACAGCCTTGATTGTAGAAATACGGATTTGGTGTGTGAGCTCAACTATTTCACACTGATTTCAGCAGCCTCCTTACGTGTAGCCTTTATGGGCAACTGGTACCTCTCATGGGTTATTGAGGACAGTTACATTTGGTTTTATTTTTTTATATCTGGTTCTCCACTTCCAATTTAAGCAAAAAAAAGGTTAAACATGTTGTGCAGCTGCACATCAGCAGCTGCTTGTATCCAGCTGTTTATAGAGCTAATATTATTCTTCAGATGTGTGGTTTTTTTCCCTAATTACCTGGCTTTCAATGAACAGAGCTCTTTATCTAATGAGATTACACATGGGATCAGAATATTTTGCCCTTGATGGAATTTTGAAGTGTGGTTTAAGACAGACAAAAACTTTTCCTGTTGTGATTTTGAGAAGCGCGGTTGTGGCACAGCGCAAGCCAACGCATTGTACCAACTGAATAACAACATTGTTCATCTGCAGGGAACTTAGGGTCTTCAGTGTGAGGTGAGGTGAAAGACAGGTAAGATAAAAAGGATGTAAGGATGAGAGCTAGGTAAGATTATGATTAGGAGCTCTGGTGAAATTATCATGTCCCCAGATTTAGCCATGTTGGGCAGCTCCTTGTCTCACCTCGTTCTCACCTCATCTGATTATTTTCTCCTTTCTGTCCAATCTTCATTTTTAGCTTAGTTGTGGGTTTTGTTTTAAAGTCAGAAAAACCTTTTCTCATGCATACTAAGACTGTTTGATCTAGTTCTTGCTGTACCTCCCTGAGTTTGTATATGAATGTTATGATTTTGTGAGCTGCTGCCTCTCAAACAGAAGATGCCCATCACATTTCAGAATAGGTACAAGTCATGTAAAATGCTTCTCTGATGTTTCAATGAACTTAAGATAACAAATTGGATTTCATGACAGTCCAGCACCTACCTTTAATGAAAGTTTGCACAGCCTGAACTATCTCCAGTGGTCCTTGACTACTTTCCTTGAACAGCAGACCATGACTTTATGATAAAAGATTTACTAGTTTGTTACGAGAGTTGGATGGTTGGTTACATGGTCTCTCCATACAGTTAAAAAGACTGTGAAATATAATGGGTAAAGGAGAATTCAATCATTTTTTCCTATTTACTTTTTTTGCTTATATCCTTTAAAAGTTCTACTCTAGAGTGACTTACACATAACGCAGCAATCCACTCGTTACTGCAGTACTGCACAAATGCACACGACTTTGCAGACAATGTGTTGGTTTCTGCCCTAAAAAATCCAGCTGTTAGGGTGTTGGGTCTTTAATTACCAATCTGCTCAGAGCAATGCTGGTAAAGGACTGTATATCTCACTCCATTTTCTTCCACTGAGCAAAAGGATGCTACAGAGAAGTCTTGTGGTGTTTGATAGTTGTGTACAGCTGACTTGTGAGCGCTGTGCTAACAGCGACTGACCCGATTAAAAAAAATAGACAAAAATATCAGTTCTCCTTGCAGTGAGTACTGTAAAATACACCAGGATTGGTTGTGCTTCCCAGATGGCCCAAAATCTAGGCTGCGTTGGTGCACAGTGGGTGGATGAGGTAAATGGGTCATTTTTAAAGTGAGTGAATAGTAAAGCAAGTGTGCTCACAAAGTGGTGAGCAGATTTTGACTCCAATCCAGAGCCTTTTCCAAACTTTGAAAGGTTAAAAAGTATCTCTTATTCTGTTTCATTCCAAAGATCCTAATTCTAAATAGTCATTCCCCAAAGTACCCAGCTGTGTCTTCCGAAATTTCATTTTCATAGTGTTCTGTAAAAATAGTGTGACTGGAGCTCTGCTGCAGATTCCTTAGGGTGTCCACTGTAGCTTTCTGCTGTGACATTCTGACAGTACCGTAATGTTTCCATCTTTTTTTGCTTTCCTGAACATAATTTGCCTCTGGCAAATGCTGCAGAGTTTTATTTACCACTGTACCCCATTTCCTCTTCAGTGCTTTGTAGTCTGTGACTGCTGAAGGAAGAGAGCTTTCCTGTTTACAAACACACTTATTACCTTGTATTTCACCACAATAAATTCTCTGAGGTTTTTCCTCATCCATACACCTGCTGTTCAGCTTGCTCTGCATCTACTGCTATATTTATTGTCTTTTCTCCCAGTTCTGTGTTACCAGCAAGTGTGATTATTTTTACTGCACAGTCTTTTTTCCAATTATTTCTCCTATAGCATGAAAGATGACTTTGTTTACTAATCCTTACAGCAGTTGGCTTCTGCTGAAAGCATCACTTAGTATCACCTCTTAAGTAGGGTCTTTGCTCTTCAGAGTAGAGTGAACGTGGTTGTGTGTGGTGGAATTTCTACCATCCCATCTGGGGTGAGCAACTGGCTCCCTCCATGTGAGGTGTTTTGTTTCTCCCTTACTTAAGAGGGCAAATCTGGGTTAATTAATGTCTAGATATCATTTGGAAGGTAAGACTGCATCAGAACAACTCCTAAGAATACCACTGAAGGGTCATTAAGGGTATCAGATATTTTTTGAAGTTGAATAGGCGTGTACTCAGTCCTGTGTATGGAATCGAAGTATTCAGATGTGTAAAATGCTTCTGTCTGGTAAAATGCATGAAATGGATAATGAGAGCTCATTATGAATCATAATAAGTTTTAGGTTCTTTTTCCCCTTTTCTGCAAGAAGCGAAAGTAAAGCAGTAGGCAGTAGGTTTCATAACATTTTATCAACATGTTTGTTGGGGGTTATTGAAGCTTGTGCTGTCTGCATAGTACTCTAGATCTACACTGTCTAGAAATTCTTTCCAGTTTATTACCTTAAAATTATTAGCTGAATTGTACTGAACTTAATTAAAAGTGTTCACAAATGGCATTTGGCTCATTACACTTTGTCCCTTTCTCCCCCAAGAAATGTAAGTTACTTTAATAGTCTTCTAAATGGAAAGAAAGTATTTTTGAAATGAGATCATTGTAATCAGAAACCAAGGTAATGAGAATTTGATTTCTGGGTTTTTTTGGTTTTGGTTTGTTTGTTTTTTTAGGATGAGAGTAACTCATCAAAAGGAGACGTGACTAAGACAAGAGAATCTTCACATAATGCACCCTTATCCATGAGTGAACTGCAGAGCAGGTATGGAGTTTTTCTCTGACCAAGACAGAACAGTCATACTCAATATTGCCCTTTAAATGTAGCTAAAAATTTCTCTTCCCATTTTAGTCTGTCATATATTGCACAAGGAAAAGGCTTCTGTAGGAGTTAGTCATACCAAGCTTTTTCACCTAAAAGCAAAATGCAGTTAAATATAATTATGCCTCTGATGTTGTTTTGGCACTGTAAGTGCCTAAGCCAATATAGTCTTCATAAAACACTGATTTTGGAACTGGACTTGGTTATAAAAGTGATTCTTGGGCAGTAGTTTTGGGCTTTTATCAACCAGAGAGCAAGTGTCACTTTTAAAATAATCAATTGGTTATTTGGTTATTTTTTTTAAACTATAGGAGTGCAAAAAGAAATTGAAGCTTATTTATTAATATGGTTTGAGGCTGTTGCTTTGGTTAGTTCCTTTTTTTTTTCTCTTTTTTTAAACTCATATGTGGAAAAAAGCATTTTCAAAAAACACATTAAATTTATATACCATAGTTTAGTGATTCAGCATGTTATTTCAGAAGCTGTCTTGGAAACTTGAGGTCTTAAAAACCTGGTTTATTTGGGTTAATTACTATATGTACTACTCACATACATGACTAGGGTTTCATTTCAATATTATAAAACGCTGAATTGATTTTGACAACTTCTGTAGCAGAAGTTATCAATATTGATGTTCTCTGTGTGTGCACACAGTATTTTGTACAATGTTTTCAGTACTTGTTTTGAGGAAAGATACTAAGTAATGTAAATCTTTTCTGGGCTCCTATGGCTTTTCTGGGTTTTTTTTATATTAAGGGAGAAATCCTAGAACTGCGGTGCTGTATTTGAGAGGTGTTGCCATTAGGAAAGAAAAGGTTTTATTTTGATAATTAAATGTGACACAGTGTTTTGTAACGAAGGCGTCCCAAACCACCACTGTAATACCACTGAAAGGAGGGTATTTCAATATGGGCATCCTAGTGAACTTCTACTTGCAGTTTGTAAGCTCCAAAAAGTTCATTTATGACTTGCTGGCTGTTTTTGCAGTTCCTGTGGTTTGTAATCACCTCTGTGCAAGGGATCTAGTCACTGAGATTTTCATATACATGTGAAGCTGCTGCTGCAGTTGTGTATCCCTGTACCTGTGCTCACTCCCGTATTCTACGTGTAGCCTTTTTGCTCCCTTTTCCTTTGTCCTGACAGCTGGTGCAATTAAATTGTGTAGGATGTGTTTGTGAGAGAGAAAGTGCAAGTTTTTGTTTTGAGGCAGCTTTGGGACTTTGAGATTGATGCTGAAACTGCAGACCATGAAAAAATGAAAAACAAACCCTAATACTACAGAATCCTGAAGTGATGGGATATGAAATGTGGCACTCAAGTTGGGAAAGGATTGCTCCTTGGGTTTAGAGGCCGGCAGCACTGGGGATGAGACATAAAAGGCCTCGAGGACAGTCTGATTGCTGAGTCTTTGCCACAGTGCTCATAAACAGGATACAAGGACAGAGACAGAGTTCATGGAAGGACATGGTACTGTCGACCAAATTTTGGCAGTAAAGTAGATGGATGATTGAAAACCACTGGGAGTAAGGAAAAGGTCTGTGTTTTGTGAAATATTTAGTATATGATTCACTCAGAAAAGAACTTCTGGGACTCTTAAAGGAGATGTATGAGGGAACAAAAGCATATGACAGGTATTTCAGAGCAGGGAGTTGCGTGCAGAAATCCTGCTGTTAATATGATTTGTGAGTGTAATTCCCAGATTGCTTAGCTCAGGTCGTCAGCTGGTTTCCAGCTGAGACAGGAAGACTCTTCCCTAGCTTGGCTGTATCTTTGTCCACACCAGTGCCAGGTATCTCATGCACAGGGACTGGCTAATGGAAACACATACAAACACATCCCTCCCAAAAGAGAAGGGAAAATTAAGTTTATGTTTTCTTGTAAGTCTTTGTCAGTACCAGAATAAGGAACTTGTGGAAGTTACTGTTGGGTTTTGAGTCTTTCCTTTACTGCAGTGGTTGGAGTTTGAGTGTCTCTAAGTACATTCAGCTTTTAGGAGAAGAAAAGGCAAACACAAGGCTGCCTGCAGGAAATGGATTCCAAGGAAAAGAGTGTCAGAGCTGTTTGTTGTCCAGTTACAAGTGCCACTCCTAGTGCTGTGCTTACTTGCTGGCCTCAGAATTCTCCATCAGAAGTGAGGTACCATGAACTGCAGAAAGGAGGAGGTGAAACTTCAGTTGTTGATGAGTCCCCAGGGTATTGACTTGTCTGCATTTCACATAGGCCTGTATAACTTCTGTATTGATTTTACTGATTGGTGTGTTGGTTTCTTTGTGTCCAAACTGTGAAGCACAGTTGACTTGGGACGATAAACAGTTTTAATTTGCTTCATGATATTGACTGACTTTAAATGTTGGAGATTTTTTAAATAAGTGTGAAAGTGGCCTTTCTCCCTTTTTAGTATTGGAACCACACACAAGTCTTGTTGTTTTCATTGGTATAGGTTGGCATCACCCTACTATTTAAATGTAAGAAATATAAAAGCAAAAGCTATTCCTTCTTTTGCTTTTCATGGGACAGTGGAAAGTCAGGGATATGAATTTAGAAAACTAATCTTATATTTTCCTCTTCTTCCCTCACTGTTTTCCATTCTTGAAGTGAAAACCTTGTGTTTTGATGCAGTGAGGTACAAATGTATTCGTGGGTCCTTTGGCATAAGGTTTCTTTCAATTTTGTCACATATGTGGGCTGATATTAACTTGAGGACAAAGTTTTAAGTACTGCTTTGAGCATAAAAGACACTATCATTAATAAATTATATGTATATAAGAAACTGTAAAGCTTCCCTGTAAAATGTAATCCATTTCCTGAGTGAAGATGGTCACTGTAAGCTTCACACTTCCAATTTCATTTCCCAAACTGAGAACATTTGCAAAAGGCTGAAGATAACTCAGTCCTAATTTTTAAGTGTCTTCAGTGCCTAAATCTCTGAGCAGACATGAAATATGTCACCTCAGTAGTCATTTTTTGCTGATGATTTTTGAGCTACTTGTTTCATGCTTTATTACAAGGAAATTGCTCATTTAATTATATGACACAATCCTTTGTTTTGAAAGTATCAAGAGGAGGCAAATAGTCATGATGCTTAGATACGAACGCTTCGGAGTTGTCAGTGTTTTGTAATGACTTTCAGAGTATAAATTTCACTTCATGGGTCTAGGAAATAATTTCTCAGAGCAACTGAAAGATGAGCCTGTATTTGTGTTTAGTATTAAAACAGTGACACAGAAGATGGGGTGTGGAAGGAACACTTGATTGCCACTATATCATAATGTATTTGGTAGAATACTTATTCCAAGACGCTTCCGATAGAGCACTTTACAGCTGCAACCATGGTAATTTAATATACCCCTGATAGATTGTCTTCATATTGAAATAGCTCCTTGTGGTTACAATTTAACCTTCAAAGGACACAAAAATCCTACTGTGTTGCTCTTGCCTAGTCACACAGCCTGCAAAAATACAGCAAAATTACTGCATGTTCTCAGAAAATTAATTCTCTTTCTGTTTGGGAGGCTTTATAAAGCATAGTCAGGTAAGTGGGGGAGAATTTGTGTGAATGAATAACTTGTGGTTCCCATTTCTTAGAGGTAGCTGCAGTGCAGTTTTTGTTTCAGTTTGTACAAGGTAATATGTGCTTAGCAGCTCTGCATTTGTATTTCTGCCGGTTTTGTGCCTCTGATTCCTCTTCCATGTCTTGTTTCTTATCTTCTTTCCTTTGACAGTTCACCAGTGCAGCAGAACGCTCCTGTTCACTTGGATAATGGTGAATACTGGTCCAGTCGTGCAGCTGTGTACAAAGACAAGCCTCACAGAGCGATCTTTGAAGAGAGCCTCGGAAAAATATACAAAAACATGTACCAAAAAGTTGCTGGCACTGTTTCAGACCAAAAAACACATTCCTGATAGCAACTCACCTGAAAATGCACAGTACGCAGTGTTCACATTTGTAACTAAACCTATTTTTATATAAGAATATTTTTACTCTATTTTTAAGGTGCCATTATGGTTGGGCATATGGTTGGAAAAATGGGGTTTTGGCCTGTGTTGACATTAACATCCACCCCCCAAAACAAAGGAACAAAAAATCAAGCCCCTCTATGGTTAAGCAAGATGGTATTGTTCCTTTGAGACTATGAAAACAGAGTCATTTGAAGATTAATAGGTCTGCTGGACATTCCTGTCTGACATCAACTCAGGTTTCAGCTGCAGCCAGTTCTTATTAAATAACTAAAACTATTTAGTAACATAAACAGAATTGATTGAAGAAACAACCAATGCTAGTGGTCAGAGAGGGGGTCTAAAGGGGAGGGTGAATGTGAGTGGTGTTTTAAAAGCGACCCATGTGGGACAAAGGGAATTGTGTTCTAGAAGATTGCCTTTGAATTGTTTATTTTGGAGAAGGGCAGAAACGCTGGTACTGTAGGACCTAAAGGCATGTTTTTGAAGTGGTTTCAAGCACCTTTAGCAACAAATATTCTAATACTGTGAAATTTTAAAAGAAACCCACCCAGCCCAGCAGTCTTTGTATCAGATGAAAGGTCATCTTCACACACCCTTTGCATTTGAAAGTTTCCAGGTTGTCCTGAATGCAGCCATGACATTTGCCAATTTACCTGTAATTTTAAAAATTATGAATAACAAAGGAGTGTGCAGGGGGAAAGACTAGAGCTAGTGAGCAAGCTACTTGTGTTCTGTACAGGCCTTCTGAAATTCCTGCATCACAATCCCACCTAATTTGGAGCCTGTCCTTCCCAGTCTGCTGGGATCCTGTTGGCAGAAATCGCTTCGTTTTTGCTAAAGGCCACCAAATGTTCATCAGCAGTTCGATGCTTTCCCTGGGGATGGAACCTTTTCAGCCTTGCATTGAGCAGATCCCACATTAGCAGACCAGGGCAAATTGCCCATCTCTTGAAAAGCAGAATGTTTTAAAAGGGCAAGAGTGTCCATCTCCCGCTTCCTTTCAGAATGGGGGAAAAAACAAATGCCTGTTCTGGCTCCTTCCCTGTCTGAGCGAACAGATTCAGTTTCTCCGATGCCATTTTACCTGTTTGATTGGATAAAGGATAAAGCTGGGAGTACAGATGGCAGAACATATGACTGTAACCTGCCAGCATGCCTAGATAAACAAAAAGTTGGTCTACTCTGCCTTCCGTCCTTTAATGCTGAGACAACATAATTGATTTGAGAAAGCAGTTGGTGAGCAATTATGCTGGTGGGAAGGCACGTTGAAAGGCTGTGTGCTTCTGTTTCAGGAAAGGGGACTCTCAGAGGAAGTGTCTCACATATAGACATTTCTATTCCTTGTAACTGTTAAAGCAGTTGAAGTGGATTAACACTGATAACTTCCTGTCCCTGATGCCATCTAGCACATTAGTGCTTTCAAAGGGCATTAGTTGCACAGTCTTATGCTGTGGAGAAGTGTGGAGTCATTCTATGAAGTGAAAAGTAAAACTTCCCCAAGCTGTGCCCCTGGTGGCCATGGAGTGTTGTTCTACCAGTACCTGGTGTTCATGGGCCTATTCCTGTGATCCCCTATTGGTCCATAAAGGAATAGTTTTCTTGCTGTTCAGGAAAGGTATATTGAAATGGATCCTAAACAGGTAGGGCAGATTCTGAGAGATACTTTCCAAGCTTTTGGTTTAAAAGTAATCTATTAAAATCTAAAGGTTGTTGCAGTTTCCTGTTTGTGTTTGAGCTGTAATATTCAGTGTTAGTCTTATGGTATCCTGCAGTTTGATTCAATATTCTCTGTGTATTCCCTTCCCAGTCTCACAGTCAAGTAGAAGTTACAGTCTTCTGAAGATTGGCTGCTCCCCTTTGACCTAATCTAGTTCTGTGACATAGAAAACCTGTTCGATTTTTCCTTCCCCAGTAATCCATCAGATTTTAGTCCCTGTTTGTTTGATGTGCAAGAAAACCTGAATGCTGAAGCTTTGTTTTGGGGGTTTTTTTTGTATGGATGAGTAAGGACACAGGTTGCCATGAATTCGAGACATAAGGAGGAGATGAGGAAGGTTGGAGGCCACTGCGAAAAAGCAGAGTAGTGTTCTCAAGGGGTCCATAGGAGAATCTGGGGTGTATCTGTTTAATTCCCCTAACTAAAGAAAGGAAGCATATAGTAATATGTCAACTTTCGGTTTTCATCAAAGATGAAAACATTTTCAGCAAAGGTAAAAAATAGATGGGAGAAAATAGTGTCATCTATTGAATTTTGACCAGTAGGAATATTCTCAGGGTAGCCTTCTTATGCAACATAACAACAAATGAAGCAGACAGACTCTATGTTTGGCCCTGGTCCAGCTGTGAGGGGAGATGGTGTGTATAATGTCTCTCTGAATCAGCTGCTGCAGGATATGTTTCTCTCTTGGGTCAGTCATTCCACAGCTTATACGCCGTGATACAGCAAAGAGTGTTCTCTTCCAAGTGCTGTGCTGGAAATCCAGTTTGGTTGATGGAAAACTTTTCCCTGAAATGTGACTTAAGACCCAAATTACTCCAATCTGTCCATAAAATCTGCAAGCCACTTTGTTTTCAGAAGCACTTGGCCCCTTCCCTGTTTGCTGAGCTAACCCTGCCATTAATACACACACACGAGCACGGCTGTTCCTGTGCTACTGCAGCATGTGATAAGTGAAGGTTCAGGCAGTGAACCAACACAGTAATAAACTGTAATTGTTTAGTGCACCTTGCCTTCTAATACAATTTAAATCCCTCCTATCAAATGCAAATTTCTAGGTTCCTAAGTGGAGCTTTAAATAGCGTTTTCTATGCTCATTCCTTATCTTTTGCCATCCACAAAGTTGTTAGTGACAGTGGGATGGCAGAATTCCACCCCTGTCATTTTGCCTCCTAAAGGAAAGCTGCCTACTCAAATCTAGAAATAATGGGCTAGATTAAGAGCGAATTAGTGTTTTTCTGTAGAGTCTGTGTCTTTCTCTTGCCCTCCCCAACTTATAACAACCCATGAGCATTCTCACCAAATGCTGTTCAGCATACAGTGATGCTTGCAGGATGCAACCAGTGCAAAATTTTATCACTGTCATTTTAATAAGTCAGACCCTGCTTTCTACTTGTTCCCTTCCATCTCTCCTGTGACTGACTTGGTATAGTTTAGGATCTTGGGGTGGCTTTAGGCAAACGACTTGCCTGCCTTCAGTAGAAATGCAAATCCTTTGCTGAGTAGTAGTTGCTTTGGAAATCACTCGGTCATTGACCTGTTGTGGATTAAAGGCAGAAATGTCAAACACTTTAATGATTTGCCTTATCTAAGTTTTCAACTGAAGAGAAGCTTAAATTGGTCCACTGGGGACAAGAGGCATAGGGATTGCTGGAGTAGTGGGAACAGCTTTGTAAGATAGATGGGAAACAGTGTGTATACTCCAATGCTGAGCGGCTTGGGAAGTGACAAGGGCTGTTCTTTAGGTTGTGCATCACGTTTGAATTTTACTGTTACTTCAGATGCTGACAAAATTGTGGGAGGAGAAAGAAATCTACCTGTAGGTGTTGGGAATCTATTTTTGGGGTAAAATAACAGAACATTTAGCTCTGCTCAGTATTAAATAGTCTTTTCCAAACTCCCTCTCATTGTTACCTCAGCTGTAAAATAGGGAGTTTGTGCTCTGTTGAAGCTTAATTAAATGACTGTGAAGTGCTTTGGGATCCTGAGGTGAATGTTAAAGAAATTATTTTATGGAAGCCTGGCTGAGAAGTCCCATCTCATCTCCAGGTTACTAAAAAGGCTTTATTTTAATTTTCCCAGGTTTATTATGTTTTAATCAGACAATTATTAAACAAGTCTTAATCAGATTTAATAGATTTCTATCCTGATCAGAGGGCCGAAAAAGATAATGAACTGCTTTACTAATGTGCTTTTAGGAGCTAATCTTTACAGTTGGTATCTTGCTCAACTTCTGTCTCCTGCATGATCTGGGTTCATATACTCATACTGATTGCTCTTATGATATGGAGGGGGGGTTAACTATAAATTATTTATTTCATCCTGATATCTTAGTGCTGTTTGCTACGTGTACTACTCAGCACTATTAACATCTCTCTGTTAACATGAGGGTTTGTTCTCATCCTCTACCCGGGAACAAGGGATGCAATGGTGTGAGCAACGTGTCAGTGGAAAATTTTGTGTGTTGTGCTATAGGTTTGTCAGAGAAAGTAAGTTGGAAGGAATCTCTGCTTTTTCAGTCTGTATGCAACGAATAAATTAGTATATAATTCTTCTCTTCCTAATTTTTAAGCTTGAAATCTTTTCTGAAACAACTGAGCTATGCAACGAAATTCTCAGCCATTTAGCAATGGTCACTTACTGTATAAATCTGGTAATGCAGAATCTCTGGGTCATAGGAAAGGTCATGGTGTTATTACTTCAGTAGTTGTGGGGTGTTCATTATCAGGATGCTGAAAATATCTCAAGAGATTTGTTTAGTAATCAAGGAATTTGAGGAAACTTTTGAATCAATGAAATTTAGCCTCTTGGTTCCAGTGAAAGCACTTGAAGCTAAGAGAGAACAGCACTTCTGTGGCTGATCTTGATGAGCTACCTCACTGACAGGAGGGATGTCTGGCTTAAATGATGGTCTCTGGTAGCAGCAGAGAACTGGTCTTTGCCCAGTTCCTTTCAGTTTCAGCAAATAAACCAGCATTGTGAGAAGTGATTGAGAACACCTGATAGTCCTGTTTCTATTACACAGTGAACTATTAGGCACAAGCCTCCTTGATTGCATTGGTTTCTGCTGCTTTCCCCATGGAATTCAAAATAACATCAACCAAAGCCCGTAAAAGATGTGGCTGTAGCTCCTTTTATCAGTGTTGGCTTGCCAAAGACATGCAGTTTGTTCCCAGTTTGTCTTCAGTGAGAAATTCTCTGAAGTGTGGTGATAATTTGTCTGGATGGCAACATAAAGGAACTGTAATCTTTCCCTTTGCTTGATCTATGTGGAGATTGTGCTTTTTCTTCATGTGTATTTCCCTTCAATTCTGGGTGATTGCTTCTGACCTAGCAGAGAGAACTCTGCAGCCTGAGAAGTGGTGATCTGAGCCACCTTCTCACCTCTCCAAGGAAAGAAGTTTGCTGTTGCAAAACATCCCCCCTCTTGGTTGATAAGAAGGTGTTTGGGTAACCCTGTAGAGCTGATGCCATGGAGTGAACAGAGCTTCACATAGAGTGGGGTGGGAGGCTGAGAGCAAGGGAGATGCTGAGAGTGTTTGATGCTTGGTATGCCATGAATTATGCATTTCTATACCATGAATTATCGGTGTAGAAAATAACCTGTGAAACTCATGAGTAACAAAAGCACCATTTACGTCACTGAACGGTGGTGAATTCTACTGCTTGTGTTTGTATTGTTACACTGACTTGAATTTTTGAATGTTTAGCTAATTGTGTTGTACTAAGACTATAGTTGTAGGAACTGTTTCATTCAGTACTCCAGTAGTAAACACTTGCTAATAGGTTGCTTTCCCTGCCTGCCTTGTTTTCACCACAGTCATCTAGTGTTTACATACATTTTAGCCTCTGTGCCATTTCTGAAGGCTTTATTTGTCTCATTTATGTTTTTGGTTTGGATAATACTTAAATATGAAATCCATCTGGGAAACATATTGTATATTCACGTTGAGGGGTAAAACCAGTTTTTAATTAAAATTTTATACAGCACTTGTATTTCACTTTGTCCTGTTTTATTATGAAACACTTCAATCTTCTTCCTAAAACACATATGTCTTGTGCGCTTCAAGATGTTCCTTGTTGCTCATGCAGAACCAGTTTCGGAGCTCTGTCAGCAGAGTGCCATATGTTCTGGGGTTCATTTAGCTTCTCTGGCATTTGTGTAGGCAGCATATTGGATGTAATGCAGCTCAGCTCAGCTCCATTCTTCTCTTTGTAAACTTGTCAAGAGATAAAAAAAAGCAGGGAGAAGGAAAACACTGAATAATACTCGAGTGATTTGAATTATCAATAAGTTACGGGAACGTGGCCAATCAAAATTGAGGTTTCTCGTGTGCTTGAGGATTTTCCTTAATTGCGGCTTATGCAGAGCCTTTAAAGTGATGCATCCCTTGGTGCTACCCAGTATTACACCCAAAACAAGTGCTCAAGATTAAGATATAACCCGAACCACTTGGAAATGACAAGCATTAAGTGCTCAATTTTGCATTGATCTGCTAGTTTAAATTAAAAAAAAAGAAAAAAGAGTACTAGAAGATGGGTGTGTGAAGGGATCATACTCCTCTTTGGTGTCCCCTGGCTTTGGGGAAAATAACTCTGCACTCTTTAAATGCCTGGTACTGAAAAGAGAAATCTCAAGGCTGATGGTGCCTTCCTGTAAAAAAAACCCAAAACAACAAAAAGTCATTTTTCTATCAATCCCTTCCTGTTTCTTCCCTGCCCCCATAATCTTGACCATGAACCAATAGGTGCCATCAGTCTTTAATAAATGCCTGGTGTGTAGGCACAGCCCCGACTGGTCACTGGTGGTATCCAGGTACCTGCTCTGCTCTGCCAAGAGATCTCAGAACCATCTTGGTGTCTGTGACAGAGGCCCAAAGTATTCACAGGGCCAAAGTATTTCTGGGATTCTGTAACTAGAGTTTAAAAACAAAAACCAAAAAAACCACAAACAAACCCGAAAGAATAAGGAACTAGCAAAAAAAAGAATCCATATTAATCTGTTTCCCCTTTGCTGAGGTGTGGGACTGGAAGGAAAGGGCATGAGCGGCTGCTGGAGATGACTGTGTGGAGGAGTGGGGAGGGAAACTTCTGCAGTCGTGACCTAAGGGCGGTCAGAAATAACCAGCTGGAGTGACATGAGTGTAAACCTGGTTGAAGTGACAGGCAGCTCAGCTTCTGGGACTCTATTTACATATGTTTAAAACAAACCAAAAAAAAAAAAAAGGTGCCTTTGTTCCCAAGGAAAATCTATTTACTTGGCATTCAGCTCATGTATAAGCTGGAACTTCTTTCACAGGAGATGTAGAAACAAAGCGACTGACATTTCTGCTTTGATGTGAGGCTGAAGCTAAGATTTGATTTTGAAATATGAAAGTAAACTGAAACTACCTCCAATTTAAAGGTGGATTTTTTTTAATGACCTTAAAAGTTTTGAGAAGTTTTTTGTCCCCCCCCCCCTTAGGGACCAGAAGAATTTATAACAGTAATCTT